GATTTTGTAACAAACTGCTATAGGGATTCACATCATGAAAACTCTGTCACAGTCCAGAATCAGTGAATCCAAATCCAAAGCCGATTTTATCGATTTTATTGGATCATTGGTGTGGAAATGCTTCTGAATATTCCTTCCAATATTACCCCTGGACCATTTTGTTCTAGTGGGTGAATGGGTTACATGTAAAAGCGCGAAAAAATGTGGAATTTATATGAACTTAATGCTGCAGTGATTTTGTTACCCCTGCCTGTACATCCTGTGCCCATGATACATCTGTGAGATCTCCAAAGATGCAAAATAATTTACTGCCCGCATCCTGTAGGATCGACTGAGGGACCAGAAGATGACTTTGAAAAAGAAAATCCTGTTTATGACTTCTAAATCTGTAATAAAACCTACCTTGCTAATAAGTCATAGAGAGTAGACTTTTTTAAAAGGTATTTTTTGGATAAATTCCCAGGAGTGAATGGGTGAAAATCATTGACTTAAAAGGTCAAAATTCCATTGAATACATAATCAGACTCTGGCTAAAAAATAATCTGAACACACCTTTGGGCATCTAATGGTAGGTCAGCTGAAATACTAAACCATATATGTCTGGATCTTCCACGTGCAAAATTGTCCAACACAATGCCAGCAATCTACAGTAGAAAACAACTGGAGTGTAATCTTGACTACAAATTTAATGGGCTTAAAGTCAAACCGTTCTATATTCAAGGTTTGGCAGTGAGCATTCGGAAGTCACCCAAGCGTGGTCATTGCATGCATGCTGAACAAGAATGCTGTATAATGACAGACTAGAAACAATAGACAACTCCCAAAGCACAAACTCAGCCAAAACGCTAAAAATCTTCAATGTTTACTCAAGTTTGGGCTTATAGAAGATAATGTCACAGTTTTTCAATGACCATGAAATTCAGAGTCCGGTTAGTTAGTTAATCAATTGTGGCCCTGAAAAAATTTGAAGGAAAAAAAGCTACGAATTCTTAAGAAAATTCTTTTTTCGTGAGAAGGACTCTTAAACGCTGACAAACGTCAACAAATAGTGAAAACTATAATTTCTATATGTTTGCTTTGCTCGAAATCGCGCGCATTTACAAGGCCCTAAAGCATTTTGCTGACTTGCAAGGACCCATCTGTTATAATGATGCCCAAAATAAAGGGATAAATCTCATAGTTTATTAGATATAATCGTGTAAATTTTGCTTATCATTTTCGCAGAAATTATGACCTAAATTTGGAAACCGCTGAATTTCTCGAATTGGGTCTTTGCGATTTTGGTGAAACTCTGTTCAGCACAAGGCACTAATGTGCACTATGTGTAGCCGAGAGATTTTCACGAAAAAATGCCGGCAACAGCAGATTTTTGACTCAGACCTCAAAGGGGCGTGGCATTATAACCACGTGACATTTGCTCCGATCACCAAAAATTTTATGTTATATTGTAGATTGATCTATATGTTATCCATTCTATGTGTTAGACTTACGATAAAAGTAAAGGAGGGGATACCAGAGAGCTTCAAAGTAGGATGGTACCTCCCCAAAAAACTGGGTCGAGTCACCTTAAAATGAAAACGAAGAAGTGCTTTTGCAAGCATGAAAATGAGGTAAATTTGCACCTCAGTGAAAATGGCCATCGTTCTTGATTTTTGTCTAAATAAACAAAGTAACAGTTCATCGACTTAACAGCATGAAATTGTACAAAAACAAAATGTACTCACTTGTCTTCCTTTTCCAACCCCAGCACCATCCCCTATAAAGAATCCAGCTCTCTGTCCATTGGCAAGGACCATCTGATGTCTTTGACACTATTAAAAAAATCAACAGCAGTTTATAAATGAATTTTTCATGCTGTTTAACTTGATTTTATTACTAAAGACCATGACTGTGCAATAACACACTCTCTGCTACCACATATCCACAGCAGCTGGAAGGGCCTTTTTGTAATGAATTTATTTTTAGCTGGAAATCCATCTTTTCCCAAATATTTTAAATGCTTTATGTGGACAGAAGAAAGAGCAATACAAAAGCCGACAAATGTTGACAGAGTTCTTGATATTAATAAGGTGATAATCATACAGCATACAAAACTCCTTCCAGTTGCAAATCACTTAGTTTGCCTGATGTCAACAAAAAAAATGGGCTTATCAACATTTCCCTTTGTCAATATTATTACAAAATTATCACCTAAAATATGATCAAACCCCTCCATGCAAACACCTCTATAAGGTCTTTTCATCCTAAAGCCTCGTGCAAATGTATGCAACATTGTCGGCCAACAGCTCTCAACATTGTTCAATGTCACATGTTGCGTCCATTGGCACACCCTGTTGCACGTTGTTGCAATGTTGTTGCATGTTGTTGGGAGTTGTTACACAAACTTTTAGCCATGTGCAAATGGACACAACAATTCTCTCTCTTGCACATATATAGCTTAAAGACATCTAACTTTATACATATTACTTTACCTCAATAATTAAAGCAGACAGCTCTGTAAAGTGGACACTTGGTTCTGTCCCTTTGGTGTCTGATTAAAGGAGGGGGGAGGGGGGCAAAGCTGATACAAGTAAAGCCTAACTATATGTGACCCTATTTGGGAAAAGAGGGATTAAGGTGAATTTAGAAAACAACGTTCTAACACGTTTAATCGGCTTCGTCGAAAAGCGTGAAAACGCATTTTGTATGCGTTTAAACAGATTTTTAATGCGTTTAAACAACGGTGGCTCTGTTGCACTTCAATATTGCATTTCGTATGCTGGAAAGTAAGCTAATTTAGTTGTATTTCGAATGAATAAATTACCTGTGTTCTATTATATGAAATGCAAAGATTAGGGTGCATGTCTTCCAACTCACTGTGTCAAAATGATCAACTCACTAGCAACTTACCTTTTGCCTTTCCTTTCTACATAGCAGGTGGCTAAAAAATTGTATTGCAGCTAATAATCACATTCTGTCTATAATATTGTTTTTTCTGTGAGCGCCTCGTGCACACCGACTTTAACCCACTTGCAGTGCAAGAACGTCGTGCTATCAACGGCAGCAACCAAACAATTAGCACACGCAGGAAAGAAGATGCGGTTTTCGAGTCTTCCTAAGGATGGATCAAGCAGTCGAATTTGAGCCTACGGATTCTGTAGTTTTCATGTTGAATACAATAGCCAACAATATTGCTCAAAGAAACGCAAACTACCTAACGACGTTTCAAAATGTTCCTATCAGCATATCGGGCTTCACCAACAGGCTGGTCAATCCTTTTTCTCAAGCTTGTTTTAATCTTTTTATACTCTTTAAAACTTTCACATTCGACTCCTTCGTTTTTCCGCTTCGGAATTTTTGGCGACAAAAGCATGTCGCCAGATTAGAAGCGAAGCAGAATCGAAGAAATAATGCCGCAAGCGTTCGTCATGTTTTATGTTATCGTTCGAATAACATGAATACATTCAGGGTCACTGGTCACGATGTCGTGACGCCCGCCCCGTGACAACAGAAAATATCAGCTTTTGGCCCGCTTTTATAACAAGAAAACTTTGACTGTACCTCTAAGAAATGTGAGTAAGCTTGTGCGCAGCAAAGATCGCTTATTGAATAAACCTCCAAATTCTATGTGTTCTGAATCAAGATTTCAATAATATTCATTCCGTGACTGGCGAGTGTGGGATGTTATCGCTAATTCCCTTGAGACATATCCTAGGCTGTAATCTAATTGGTCGGCACCTTTGCATGAGATCCCATTACATATCTAGACAAACATGTGCGACCGTTGAATGAAGGGCGCAAATTAAACATTCATACATTGTAAGTTTTTTGCATCTAGTTCTGTTTCGAGATGGAAGTTCTGTTGATATTTTTGGACGAAACAGCTCAAACGTATTTGTAAACAACGGCACTGTACAGTGAATTCTACGCTATAAAGTACCAATGAATCGAACCAGAGCAAGCAACACAGATACAAGAATCTTAGCTGGGGTACGCATGCACTTCCAAGATTAAAACGTTCACGATAATGTACGTTACTTAGTCCATTGTAAAATTTAACGACGACCAAAGTAAAATTGGGTTGATTTCTTTCATGAAAAAAGTGTAGCAGATCGTGGATCATGGACAAAACGTCAAGGTAGGCGATGTCAGGCTTACGCTGCAACGAATCAAAAATCATTTGGCTTGTGTCCGTGCAAACGTTAAGAGGCTGTCCGCGTAAGAACCGATAAGGCAAATTTCGGTCTATAACGGATTGCCCTGATTTTTTCAGCGGAAGATGACTATCCTATCCCATGAAGAAATATCACATTTATTTGGACCAACTCAATTTTTTCTCTATTTTACAGGAAGATTTTCTCGGTCACCTAAAACTAGTCAGTTTGCCGTCGGAAGTAGTGCGATTTTGGTGAAACTTTAGGGCTCTGTCAAACCTACCTTACATAGCCGAATAATCTGATTATTTTACACACAAAAGTCTTAACTCTCATTAATAGTTTCAATGTTTAATGGTTGCATTCTGTGGAAAGTTGGCTGAGATATGATGTTTTGAAAATGACCGTTAATTTGCTCAGCAGGAAAAGTAATTTGCATAACTAGAGCTGAACGGTAATTTCGCAAAAGTGGCACCTGACCCAGACTCAAGTCTATGATAAATCAGAAGTACTAAGACCAGTCTACTTCTTAATGCAATAAAATTTGTGGGCACTCTTCTTTGCGTGCCGTGCAAAGTTCCGTTAATGTTCCAAAATTCGCCATTTTGACAGCAAAGCTGGAATTGTAACGGGTCCGCATCTGATCGACTAATTTCCACAGCTTTAACGTTCCCAGTTATCACTAAATATCATTAGACCCTTTAAATGTTGGACGTTTGAAAACATGTGGAGAAAACTTAATAATCGCTTTTCGTTGGGTCTTTTTCTTGTCGACGATGAACGTGACTTCGTTCTCGGTATGCAAATTAGCCTTAGATGCGTTGTTTCAACAAATTGACAGGAAATATAATCGTTACATTCACATTTCTAAGGGGAAAAATAATTCTCCTTTCCACAGAAAAACACAAACCATGACTTAGAATCCCCTTAAGGTCTGTTTTTTTTTTTAACGAGGAAGAAGCAGCTGAATAATATATCATGATAGATGTTTGCGGCGTAAAATAATTCAATTACTGTGGCCTGTCACGCATTCCTGAAGAGGGGTGGTCGATTAGAAAACAATAGCGTTGTGTCGATCAATTCGATAATATTATCATCTTTTTTTTAAATGATAGTTATTGATAATAATAAAAAATAAGAGTTCACTTGCAAGGTAATTCCTCCTGTCAGCACACGAAAATGTTTGGGGACTCTTTTTTGCCTGCCTTTATAAAAAATAGCGTTAACGTCGAAAGCTTTATTATGATATTTGCTTATCGGGAGAAGGCAGATCTTTGTACATGGCACTATGATAAAAAAAAAAAAAAAAAGCCCCACACTTTTTCTATCTTAAATTAGCGGTAAATTTCAGTTTCATTCAAAGATCTTTAAAGCGTTTATCGGTAGCTTATCGGTAGCAGAGTGAAAAGGGAAAAATAGTTCCTTTTTTCAGTGAATAAACGCAAAAGGGAGTATCTTTTCAGTTTTTGTTAGGGTATAACATCCGAATTCCAACGATGATCTTGTTTTGGTTTCAATCTGATTGAATTATAATGTAACAGGTGCCAGTTTCAAACTAAATATAATTATGTCACTGAAATCGCCGAAGAGATCAATTGTGAAAAATGGCTTTCTCGGCTATTTCATCAAGCAGTTCTTCCGCGAGATCGTAGACAGAGTGAGGTCCCGGAAGGGGTGTGGAGGAAAATGTGTTGGTCACAGAGTGCATGGATGATATTACCTCACACTTAGCCAGCTCTCACTTGTCTAAGTGTAGCAAGTGTAGCAAAGACAATGAAAATGAACTCATTTTAGCGAGAGTACCTATTCGAGGCTTGGTGGGTATTCGGAACTGAAATGACAATCTGCCCAAGGCACAGACTCTAAATAGCCTGTGTACAGACCCCCTTCTCTCAGGAAAAATCGGAGAAGGGGCCGCTTCTCCCAAGGGGGGGGGAGGGTAGTGTGTACACAGGCTAACACTAAAATGACAATCTGCTTTAGGCACAGGTTTTTGCGAGCGCCAAGGTCTTGCTAGGCTCGATTGTAAGCCGCTGTTTTGGAAAACGAGCCCCCAACGGACGGGGAGAGGGCGGAAATCGAGCCTAAGGTCTTGTCAATACCCCGGTCACACTCTAGATCACACTGGCAAAATAACTTCTGTGGCAGGAAGACACGTCGTAAATTTCCAGATAGCCAGCGAAATAAGTCAAAGTTTTGTTCCATCATTCTTTTTTCTTCTTCATGCAAACAATTGTCTTAACGTACAGAGATATTTTAATTTCTCTATTTAACATTTTATCTTGCGATGTTTTCTGAAGTTCGTTTCCAGTTTATTTGAGCTTGCAAAGATAGTTTTTGTTATTTCTATTTTTTTGACAGCCGTGTATCTTGCCCTAATCAATTCTTACCTTTAAAATACTATACCGGCATACCGGTTAATCAGTGTGTTGTGAAAGATTGTTTTCTGATGATTGTTTGAAGAGCATTATAAATGGGGAAAAAAGAACTTTCTACACGGAGTCAGGATTCAACCTCGTCCCCAGTGCTTTCCCGCCCCTGTCATTTTCTAAGAAGAATGTCCTGGGGACGAGGCTAGGAGTGATTGTGATCGAGGTGTCGTTCACGTGTATGAAAAGTATTTCATTCTTGCAATAAAAATAACTTTTTTGAACTTAAACAGTGTTTAAAACATGTCTCTGGGTTTTGTAAAAATTAGTGATACTTAAAAGTACCTTAGTGTTCAGTTCAACTTTATATAGCCCATTTGCTCCTCCTGTCGCAAGAAACTTGAAAAAACTTGACGCCGAAGAGTCGAGAAGAGCACGATTGAACAGTCTGCAACCTTGTCCACACATTTGCCGGAGAGGTTTATTGGACAAGATTTCTCTGTTTTTCTTGTTTGACTGAACGTTTTCATTAAGTCTTCAAAAATGCCTCCAGATTGCTGTTTTTTTTTTTTTTTTTTTTTTTTGTATTTATACGCTCTTGAACAATGTGCTTCATCTCACCTCTCCATTTTTAACCTACTTTACCATCCACCTTCTCTCCCCACTGTTCCACCTCTACTTTAATAAGCATTTGTATTTAAGGGGGTGAAATTTCTCCCGTGTATATTAATTTCTGAAAAAGTAAGTCCTTCTACTTTTACCTTAAATTCTTAAACTTAGTTCTTTTTTCTTTAAGAACCACCAAAGATGCTGCTAAGGCTGCAATAAGCGCACTCGCCCTTTTATATACTTCATCCAGTGAAATGCCCGCCCTTTCATATACCTGAAGCCTGAAAAAGATACTCCTTTCGGGCGGAACCTCCCCGTATAGGCCATCATAGGGAGTTCCCCCAACTCCCGTTCCAATTCCGTGCTCACCTATTGCCAGCCCATGTTGGACTCTAGGCCCGTTTGAGTCAACACGTAAACATAATCCTAAGTGTATACAAGTTGAACTTGACCATAGAGATCTGTTGCAAGAAGACGAGGAGTTCGAAAGGCAAAAGCTTGTTGCAGAAATCGCTGAAAAATTGAGACCACAACACCCTCAACCAGAAGCTTTCAACCTATGTGTATGTCAAAGGAAGAACAACGTAGTCAGTTCAACGTGGTAATGCTAAAAAAATCTTGTGTCACTTTAAAATACCATTCAAATCCAGGGAAAGAAAAGGAGACCTAGTTGACAAACTTTCGTCTTTCATACAAGATTGCACGTGCTTTTCTCCAACAGCCGGCAAAACTTTTGGGATTTAACAGGAGAAGGACCGTCAACAATAACTATGCCTTTTTCTGCATGCCATTCCTCATTTTTACTGAAATGTTGTTAATTGGCGATAAACACAATGCTCTGTTAATACCACCCTAACGTTTGTATAGCCTATGGTTAGCAAGGGATCTAGGAAAAGAAAATACTTTGCAGGTGTGGTCCTATGGTGTCGCACGGTATTTCTGAAGTTGTTTGCGAGCTATTTCCAAAATATTAATTTTTGATCCTGTAATTGAAAATATTGTGCTAGTGCTCGTGAATAAGAGTGGCCGTGTCCAAGTGACTACTTTGTAGCTAATTGTCGTGTATTACACCATGGGCTGTCATATTAAACCCTATCCTCACGGTGGCTCCCGGGGATACTGACTCAGTTAAAACGGTCGTAGAATGAATAAATACAACAGCACGGTATTTCCCACCCAGTAAAGAATCGGAATTAACAGTGATTAAATTGTATGATTATCAATAACTATCACTTCAAAAAAAATATAATCAGATAAAAGAACTGATCGAAACACAGCCACGAGTCTCGGGGAATGCGTGACGGGCCAAAGTAATTAAATTATTTTAATTCGCGTAAACATATCTTCTTCTACTACTTCTTCCTCGTGAAACAGACCTAAGGGGATTCTAAGTCATATATCGTTCGTGTTTTTTCGTGGAAAGTTCTAAGAGATATTTTCCCTTAAAAATGTGAAATATAAGCAGTTATGTTTCCTGTCAATTCAATTAATTGAAACGAAGCATCTAAGGCTAATTTGCATACGGAGAATGAAGTCGCGTTCTGATCGTCGACCAGGAAAAAAACCAAGAAAAAGCGATTACCAAGTTTTCTCCTCGTGTTTTCAAACGTCCAACATTTAAACGGTCTAATGACATTTGGTGATAACGAGAAACGTTAAAACTGTGGAAATTAGTCGATCAAATGCGGACCGTTACAGTTCCAGCTTTGCTGTCAAAATGGCGAATTTGTAACATTAACGGAACTTTGTACAGCGCGCAGAGAAGAGTGCCCACAAATTTTATTGCATTAAGAAGTAGACTGGTCTTAGTACTTCTGATTTATCACAGACCTGAGTCTGGGTCAGGTGCCACTTTCGCGAAATTACCGTTCAGCTCTAGTTATGCAAATTACTTTTCCTGCTGAGCAAATTAACGGTCATTTTAAAAAAATCATATCTCAGCCAACTTTCCACAGAATGCAACCATTAAACTTTGACACTGTTAATGAGAGTTAAAACTTTTGTGTGTAAAATAATCAGCTTATTCGGCTATGTAAGGTAGGTTTGACAGAGCCCTAAAGTTTCACCAAAATCGCACCACTTCTGAAGGCAAACGGGCCAGTTTAAGGTGACCGAGAAAATCTTCCTGTAATATAGAGAAAAAATTGAGTTGGTCCAAATAAATGTGATATTTCTTCATGGGATAGGATAGTTATCTTCCACTGAAAAAATCAGGGCAATCCGTGATACACCGAAATTTGCCTTATCGGTTCTTACGCGGACAGCCTCTTAAGTAGCACAATCGCTCTTATTCTCTTTATTTTTAAAAAAGATAATCTTCATTGTCTACATGTTAATGGATGTTCTTACATTTACATGAGTGACCGTGATTGCTGAATATTTACAAAGGCATGGGTCGCACTTGGCAAAGTTTTGGGAGAATTTGTTTACCTTGCGGTAGAAATCTGTCATCGGTGGACATTGCTAAGTGCGACCCCGAGTTTTCAAGTTAGAAAAAACTTTGAAAATCGGCAAAAACATCAAAGACGCCGTAGTGTTTGGGCGGGGCAGGCAGATTTTAGAAAACTCGAGCTAAACAATAGGAATCACAGCGGTAACTGTCAGCGCCTTGTCATGAACGTGATCCATTTGAAACACGATCAATTTAAAATAAACGCGGTCGAATTTTCAGACCTTCGCGAAGAGGCTTCTACTCGGCTATCCTTCGCCATTTCAAGTTTTTTTTCGAAAACTCTCTACAGGCAAGGACTTCACTCGCTTATAAACCTTCGCTATTTTAACGTTTTTACGGGAACTAGCTCTATGGAAGGCGAACCAGTTGAGTTCCCGTCTACGCAAGCAAACACTTCACAGGTTTGTTATTCCCCAAGCCAAATGCTCTATTCGCATCCAAGCACTTTCTGGTCTTCTTTATCTGTCCCATCCTCCTGAATCTGGGAATGGAGGAAAAAGATCCTTCGACAAAGGTTCGGACGAAGAAGAGAAAAATGTTTTCTGGTATCTGGCGTTCTTTCACATCGAGAACTTAAAAGTTCTCGATGTGTCAAAGCAAAAATTATTAACTCCCACTAATGCGACCCTCCTCGGTTGGACTAAAAGTTTTCTTTTCCGGTTGCGGTTTCGAATTTTTGTGGTTTTTTAGCCGGCAAAGATGAAAACTTTTCCCAAGTGCGACCCATGCCAAAGCAAGACTGTTGCAGATTTGTTATGTCACGTGCTTTTGTAATGTGTACGCGTGGATTAAAAGTATCAGTTGTATTTTGACTTTCTAGTGGTTTTTACACCGTTTCTAAGGCCTTGTCAACTCCTCTACCATGTCTCATGATTATTGTATTATTGAAGTCTGCAATTCTTTTTTTTTTGTACTGACAAGTGGTAGGCCATTACCGGTAACAACATTTTGTCTCTTCGAAGCCACTTTTGCAGCCCAGATCGTGATTCAGGAATTTTCTGCACTGCTGCAACAGCGCTGTTTATTGCTCCATCATGTGATATTCATTCGTACATACTTCACTTCAGTTGAAGTTTATGCTCATGATTTACGTACTGAGTCACCAAATATTTAGTGTTTTGTTTTCTTCCTCAAAGAACTTCGCCGTATTTGGTTGGACTTTCGATCCCGCATTTCTTCTCCGTTCCGAGTCCTTGAATTAAGTTTTTGATGGTTTGTCGAGCTGCATTGCTTCAAATAAATCAGAGTAACCCCGGATGACACCCAATAATGAAGCAAGTGTACGTGTAATTATGCCCTCATTTGAGGTAAAGTAACAGCGTTTAAACGCGTCGTTTGTGTAAAGCTCTTTCGACATAAAAATCTTGCGCATGCGTTTTTTGTGTGTTTAAAAGTTGTTTAAATACTTTTTAACAGTGTTTTAATTAACACGTTTATGTTTAAAACAATAGAAAACACGTTTTTTTGTTATTCACCTTAATCCCCCTTTTCCTAAATAAGGTCACATATGATCATGATAAACCCTTTTTTTCAAGAAGTGACCAAAGTGTCCAATTCAACAAAAATTTCAACTTTCATTTTTAAAGAGTTTTTGCATGTAAATGTGGAAAAAACAATTAGTTTTTTAGTCTGATGCCATGTGAAAGTACAGTTGAAGAGGTCTGATTTGAATGGTCGCACATGTTTTTCATCGGTATCATCATTTTTTTGCCAGGGTCTCAATGGTCTCATGGGTTCTTCTGATTCTTGAATTTAAAATGGTTTCCTACTTCTTATTGGCATCATGATTCATTGGTCTCCTGTTTCTGTGGTTCTTGTAGTCCTCAGAGGCTGGTTCATGTACTTGTGGAGGATCACAAAACCGAGGAGAACTACATGTACAAGAACCACGATAACAGGAAGAGCCATGAGAAATATACCATGAGAATCAGGAAAACCAGGCATAACAGAGAGCCACAGAGCAAAGGAAACTAAGAGAACTTGAGAGCCACAAGTACCGGAGACTTAAAGAAGCAAGAGAATAACCAGAATGTAGGTCAAAGTAAATATGTCAATTATCATCACCTGTCTCTACTAAATCTTGTGGAAGCGATTTAAACAACTGGTATTTAGCTTGTGGTAGCTGCTGTGCCTAGAAAAGAGAGGGGACATACATTAAGTCAGTAGCCATTTTATTGTGCATTTACTTTAAAAAGATAATCATCAGTAAAACCTGCAAAATGAAACAACCTTTTTAAAAACAAAAATATCAATAGCGCAGATAGTTGAACATTGTGAGAATAAACTGTTCTCAGATAAAATGGAATAATGTTATCTTTGTCCCCTACAAATAATTGGGAAAAGCGTGATATCAGTTTACCATCATGTAACAAGATTTCTGGATCTCAACAGTCCTTCTTTCAAGACAGAAATGGCCATTTCATGATTTGTATTGTTGGATGATGAAAGAAAAGTCCTAAGTGCAATCATAGGAAAGTCATACAGTCCTATTTTTTTCTCCCATATAATTGCAGGGCCACAGTTTGCTGAGATCCAGGAATTTTGCTAGTAAGCAGGGCAACATGACATAGTGACTTCTCTTTGTTGAGGCTAGGAAACAAAGAAAATTCTGACTCAAACAACAAGGTTTAACCACAGTAGGGACAAATTTGGTTTGATTTTCAAGCCATTTCAAAAAACATGCAGTATACATACTTACCGCCAAGCAACCAGCTTCTACAATATCCCCCGGATGATGTTTAATTCCTTTATGATTTAATGAGTTGCAAGCATAGCTTGAGAAGACATCTTCACTGTAAACAAAACAACCATGGAATTTAAACACCTTGACGTGGCATGGCATATATTGTGCTACAAAAGTGAGTTAACAGTTGGTTTTGAATAGCAGGCCTAAAAATACTTTTTTTTTCCTTTTAGAAAGGGCATAATTGTGTCCTACTAGGTCACCATTTTAGCCAGGCAAACCAGAAAGGTTGTCAGACATCCACAGTGAACTTAATTGATGAAAAGATTAAAGCTGTTTCTCTTTCTCAATTTAAATCAAAATTAAAACAACATTATCTTTCGCTGTACTAATATTGCCAATTATCTTGTACTTTGTAACTTCTATCCTAATTTTTCGCTCTTCTTATGGTAATATGCACTAGTGTGTGTGTGTATATCAGTGTGTTTGTGTGTATACAGTCTGATACGCTGCCATATTGTACTCCGCACAATAAACTTATTTAAATCATCTTACTGAATCTGGCTTCTTGGCATTTTAAACTTATTAGTTATTTCAGAAAGTCAGTACCCCTTTTAGTTAATTGATTAATTTAACAACTTGTAAATAACTATAATATTCTGCTTTGGGTACAATAAAAATTGTTGTTGTTTTTGTTGTTGCTGTTGTTGTGAAACCAGTACAGTCAAACCCTGTTATTTTGGACACTGAGGGGGCCATAGAAAATGTCCGTATTAGTGGGGTGTCCATAATAAGCAGGTTGAATTTAGAGAAAATGTAAGGGCTTTCTTACCCCATGGACAAAGCAAACTGTCCATAATAATGAGGTGTCCGTATTAAGCGGGTGTCCATGAAGTGGGGTTTGATTATATTAGATGGACACCCTTGTGGAATGCTCTTGTGTCCATTTAATACAGGAAATACCCATAAAGAGGCTCAAGTATTAAGATGGAATCCACCGGGAAACTGAGTAATTTTAATTTAATTCTGAAAATTTCATGTGAAAGATGCAATTTTGTGAAATTTGGCATTTCATTTTCTTGGGCTTCATTAAGAAATTTTCTTTGGCATTATTACAGATGACTAATTACATCTTCAGCCCTTGAATGCAATATGCTTTAAATTATTCTGGTACAAGGTTTTTGTCCACTGGAAATCAAAATTATTCAATTTCCTGGTAGATTCCGTCTTAAGGTCAAATGAGTAAAATAAGCGGTTATACAAACAAAATGAAATGAGAAAAAAGTACCGTGCAACTGATCAACAGGTTAGTTAAGGCTGCCGGTATGCATCGCATGTTGAGACCTCATCGATTGAGATTAGCGGGGGGGGAAGGGAGTGGGGGGGGGACATAAAATAGAAACAATGCATATGGCCAGGTAATAAATCAAGAGCTAGGCTTGGGCTCGTGTACATATACACCTTTTAAAATTTCAGTAAATTATCTACTTTAAATAAGTTTCCTCCATAATAACACAACTAAGCGAACCCTTGCTACATAAAAGAAAACTCAACCAAGAGTACAAACCTTCGACTTTCTGCCACAACGCCGTGTGCCATCTTGTTAAGCTCCTCGTGTTCCTCGCTCGGGTTTTCAGTGCGATTAATTACAACCCGGCGTGGCGGAACAGGTGATTCTGGACTAGATAGAGCCATGGTTACCTTCTGATTATAGCAATTTAGAGAGAAAAGCCATCATTTTCGGTATTTTTACACCCATATCCCTTTGTTATGAATATTCTCCCGTTTCCCGCATTTTTGATTGTTACCGCCATGCCTTGCGGGCGCAAATGAGCCTCGGCCCCAGATCGTCTGTGATCTGTGTCTGCGGTGACGGGAAATTTGGGATAGCTGAAAGTTAAGCTGTAAGTACGTTCAAGCAAGATTTCTAAAACCTGACACACTCGAAGCCCTAAGCACCGCAAAGGTTTTGCTGCTCAAGAAGATATTTACGTACTGGATCATGTCAAGTATGCCGTAAATCCTCTATTAAGCCCCCTTCTCAATCTCCAATAAGCCAGGAGCCGATAAATAAGCCCCCCCCCCGCAATAAGCGCCCCCCCCCCCCTTTTCTGGGGAAGAAAGTTTCATTTACCAACTCTGGAAGTTCGGATTTGGTTCTGATCCTAGGGTGCATGACCTCCAACCTTCTTGTGCTTGAGCTTTTGCACTTTGTACTCTAGTTCTTTACGGAGAACTCATACCATCATCTTTTCTAAATTAAATAAGCCCCCCGTCTCTATTAAGTCCCCTCTCAAATGGGCTTGAAATTCCTTAGATCCTCATGGCCCTTCAGTCCCATCAACTCAACGAACATTTTTTCATTCGATCGTTCGCGGCTCACTAATGTTTTTTTTTTTTTTTTGGCAAAAAGCAAAAACCCGCAATTTAAATAACGTCAGAGATGTTTTTATTGAGAATTATTATTCATTCAAAATATTTGCCCGATTCTGATTGGCTAAAAGCACACGTTTAATTCACCATAACCGGTTACTGATGACTAAATTTGGAAGAATTTTGTGTTTAGCGAGGAAATGATGTCAAAAATGCAGCGTTTTTACAGGTTAATGAACAGTCAACCGAGAAGACCTGGGGACGAGGTTGAGTTGTTTTGGTTGTGAACTTGAAAAATGGCGGACATTTCACTCGTTTCAAGAGTAAGAACTAGGCGAAAAAATAGCTAAAAACATGGCAAGAAAAGCAAGAAGACAACTCGAAGGGCGACATCTGCTATTTAGAGAATATTTCCGGAGCTGAACAACCCTAAACGTGCACTATCGAGGATGAACTTAACACCGATGTATCGATGGAGGTAAGCGTGTTTCAGTCACGTTTTTAAACTAGGAATTATTTTGAATGAATAATAAACACAATTATTGAATTCGGCTTTCGTATCGTATGAAGAATTATGGAGATCTCGGAGGGTGTTATAACACCCTCCTCGATGTCCATAATTCTTCATAAGATACTCAGCCTCATTCATTAATTGTTAATTAATTTCTGCTTATAACTTTCTTCTTGAATCTATTACCGCCCGGACAAATCTTCGATAGTTTCCTTTCATTTTGCAATATTGTACCACATGCAACAACTATACTACGCTTGGGCTGACTGTCAGATCAGCTGGCCTTCCCTTTTTTGCGCGCGCGCGTGAGAGAGTTTTGGCGGTGAAGCTGCGAGGGAATTTCAAAACATCTCCTCTTCTTTCCTAAGATGAGCGGCTTTGCAGCTCCTCTGCCAAAACTCTGTACGCGCTTATGATCCCGCTGACTACGCAGGCTGCAGATTGTGAAGAAACGAAAACAGCTAGCATGTGACAGCTTAATAATTTGTTTTTATTTTTAAGTGAGAGATCGAGGAATCTAAAAACAGTGTTAAAAATATAAATCTAGCACGCTATGACCCAGGCGTTTTGCAAGAACATTCCTGGGTAAAGGGCTCAGTCCTGATTAGATCCTAGGTGCCTTGCTGCTAATACAGTTCTTGTTATGCTTCTACTTTTACTTCCTATTCAAACGTTTTAAGATTACTTTCTCGATATGATCATTACTGGTTAACTGTTTATACTCGTTTGGTCTGAAATTGTCTGATTACTGGGGAAGCTCCTTCTCCGAATTTAATCACCACTAGCTTCAGGTGGCACGTTGTAATATGGACGATCTTCATTGTGTTCGTTTAGATGCAAGTATGGTGCATCCCTCTCCATTATCACCTCCAGTTTTTCGATCAGTTGATAGAAACTGGGACGAGAGCGAGGTTCCTCTTTCCAGCAGTCAGCCATCAGCTCATATCTGCTATGGACAAAAAAAAAACAAACAAAAAAAAAACAAACCAATTGAAGTTAGTCAAAGTTCCAATCCATTATTACATGTATAGACACCGTTTTTCCGATTTAGTGGAAGAGGTTTCCTTTAGACCAGCTGGGAGCCACTCACGCCGGATCATTAGGCTTGTCGGTTTCTTGCCAAGCCTGCAAGCAAGCTCTCCATTTGGGGGATCTCTTCAACTACACGCACGTGGGACACGCGAGAGGAAACACGACAGCGAGGGGCCCCCCGCTCGCGCGTACTCGCGCGGTTCGTTTTCCTCGCCCAAATGGAGAGCTTGCTCGCAGGCTAATTCCTGCTCTGTCGATCTCTGTTAAATAACACTATCATATTACTGTATGAAACAAATTTTTAAGCTAAGATTTTGCCGTCTGTCTGTTCAGTAATCACTTTGATCAAAGAAAACGTCAAAATCGAAACCGACTTGTCCTCTACAACTTTCAAGGCTATTTATAACTAAAAAGACGCACGGAAAAATCGAATCTTTTTGTCAGTTCTAAGACGATTCTGATCAAGAAACGTACACATCATCGGAGCACATGTCAGGCCTTTCCATGCGATAACCAGTGCCAAGCAGTCGATACAACTCTGAGTTGGTCAGCGCGGGATATGGTACGCCTCCTGATCACGTTATGCGAAAAAAAAAATATACATGTTATTATTTGAAAATACGGCTCATTCCCCTGCATAGCTTTCTCCTGTAAATGTCAATGTCGACGACTCTTCATTCCCCCGTACTCAATAATGGCGTCTTGCAATAGAATAGTGATTGAGCAGGGGTCAGAATTGCATTGAAATGTGTCTCCAAAGAAAACAGGGTGTTTAGTAATAAGGCTCCTCTTTCCAGAAAACAACTAATGCGTGCATATTTGATGCCTATTATCACTTATCAGACATAGAGCCTAGTTCAAAACAAAAGTGCCTAGCTTGCCACAAATAAAAGTCATCAGGTATCAGCCTGTTTCCTGGTAACAATAACCTTATTTAATAAGGACTCACTCTTTAAGTCCCAGTGTCGTCCTTTGATATCAGTCGCACAATTCAAGTCATATACCCCGTGGCAACAGGGAGGAGAGTTCTTGGGATTCCCCTCCCCTTGGAAGTTTACATGATTAGTGTGTGACGGTCTACTCACCCAATGTAGCCATCTCCCAAAGAACAACACCAAAAGACCAACTGTAGAGGAAAGCACAGAGGTGGTGAATATTCCCACTGCATTAACATTACTTTTCCTCTCTTCTTTTTACTTGGTGAACTTAAGGCAAAAGGGCGCATCTCCACCTTTCCATGCCTTCGCCCTTGACTGAACCCTATGACACCAGGCCTCAGCTGCTCAAAGCCCTTAGCCAATGGCCTAGCAAGGTTAATAGAGTAGGGATCGGAAAAGAATACCAATTTAGGTGACGGGTCTGCCGCATAATCGTAACTAAATGATCTTTACATACACTCCGAATTAAGAATTCAGCAGACGCCGCTCTCGCTCAGGACTTAATATGCAAACTATGTAGTCCCGAGTCGAAATTACATTGACAAGTACGAAATCAGCCACTATAACCACTGAAATTCCTAGATCGGTTTGAAATAAACACGCTGATCACGACTTTTAGGGAAGCTGACTAAGGTTTTCTGAGCAGAATTTATCGAAATGTGTTTAAAAGAGTGGGATTTTTTTATACTCACACATCACTTTTGGTGGTGTAAAGGCCTTGATAAAGTGCTTCGGGGGCCATCCATTTTACAGGAAGTTTTTTGGACTTCGCTGAGCTTCTGACATCTTCATAGATTTGTCTCATCAACCCAAAGTCTGACACTTTGATTTGGTTGTCATGGCCAACAAGAACATTACGGGCAGCAAGGTCTCTGTGAACAAGATTGTTTTCGGCCAGATGATTCTAATTTTAAGAAGGAAAGAGAAAAAATGAAAATAAGTACCATATAAAACTTCAGTTACGGAGCTACTATTGCCTAAAAAGGCATGGGTGAAGGCGTGAAAATTATAGGAGCCAATAATCAAAAGTAAAATATCACGACTGAACTGATCTAAACGGCTGATTCAAGTTCAGACAAAACATGCCGAATTTGGTTCGATGGACTATCACAATTTCTCCTCTAAAAACCATCAATCATCTAGAAAATTAACTTATTTATCCTTTATTTCTTGCTTGTGGAATAGTCTTTGATAACGATCTTTGAAGGATGAAAACAAAACCTGAATGGAAGCAACGTTTCTCAGAAAATAATCATATAGTAATTACCATTCCTTTAGCAATTTGCCAAGCAAATGAAAAGAGTTGTTTGGCTCGAAAGTTCTCCTCCGCGTCTTCTTCATCACTGCTGAGATCCTCGTGTGTGCTTTCGATTACGGGTGGCATGGCGGGTGAAGGATTCGCTTGACTTTTTCCTGTTGCCGCTTGGCTGCTTAGTAGCCAGTCTTTTTCCGTTACTTTCCACTCCACATCCTTAGGGAAATTTACAAAAAAATAAATAATGGTCTAGCTCAATGAACTCGAAGATATCTTACAGATCGACTTAATCGCTAAGACTGAGCTTTTGCGCAACTAGAACTCGGCGAGCCGAGATATCTCATCGAGATCATTCAGCTGCTCTTTTCAAAGCCTTGAACGCCCTTGTGAACGGCCATTCTTCAGACGTTGCGGTCTGTGGCGAAGGTTTCCCATCGGATAGTGGGATTCGATTCAGTTTTTTGTTTCAGGGATTCTTTGAACCTCTTTAGTGGGTGTCCAATGCTACGTGTACCGCTGGCCACCTCAGAGAAGAAGACCATCTTTGGGAGGTGCGTGTCGTCCATCAGAAACACATGTCCAACCCACCCGCCGACCGTATCAAAGGCCTTGGTCAGGTGCACAAAGAGGATGTACAGGCTCTGATTCTGCTCGCGGCATTTTTCTTGATATTTCCTATGGCGAATATCATGTCGATTGTCCCTCTGTTTTTCCTGAAGGCACACTGACTCTCGGACACGAAATCATCCAAGAGGTCGTGTGTGATACAGCTCAGTATGATGAGTGCCATGAGATTTCCTGGAATACTCAACGGCGAGATGCCTCTGTGGCTGTCACAGGATGCTCTGTCATCTTTGTTCTTGTACAGGTGGATGGCTTTGGTGTCCTTGAGGTCATTAGGGAGGTATCTCATCAGGAACAGGTGCTTTCCCAGCCTGGAGCTGCTTATTTTTTGGGGGGGTTTCCTCCAGTGTTGGGGGATCGTCAAGAGAGCTTAGAACCGGGCGCTGAAGTATATCTTGGATTGCTTACTGGTCGATTTGCTGAGAAGTTGGCTAAAGATTTTTCACCAACTTTGAACGATATCAGACTTCCCTGTAAGCAGGGTTCCAGCCGAATATGGGACAGGATGAAATTGAAAGAGGGGCCATATATACAGTCTTCGGGCCCTCGAAGAACCTCTTAAAGTTGTGCTCGTCTGAGTATTGCTGCAGCTCTGCAGCCTTGTGTTGCCACCACGTATCCTTCATCTTTCTCAGCGCAGTCTGGACTTTGTTCCTGAGGTGCTTGTTTAATTGAGACGATCGTGCCTGGCAGTCGAGGTCTTTTCCTAAAGCCAATTGTAAATGCTCCCTGCTTTTGCTTCAGAAGGCATACGTGCTCGTCTGAGTATTGCTGCAGCTCTGCAGCCTTGTGTTGCCACCACGTATCCTTCATCTTTCTCAGCGCAGTCTGGACTTTGTTCCTGAGGTGCTTGTTTAATTGAGACGATCGTGCCTGGCAGTCAAGGTCTTTTCCTAAAGCCAATTGTAAATGCTCCCTGCTTTTGCTTCAGAAGGCATACGTTTTCTTCGTTGTTGTTTTCAAACCAGTCCTGGTGTTTTAGCTCCTTCTGTCCAAGCGTCAATTTGCAAAATCAAATGCTGCATCTCTGACTACCTAATTAAATATGCATATTTTGTAAAATGCTATTTAAACCGGTTTGCTTCAATCAGTGATCCTGAAAAGCGAACTAAAACTGTGGCTTAATGAAAAAAACGCGTAAAACGTGATTTCAAATAACACGTGACATTTCTTCATCATTGACGTCACAAAACACGTTTTCCTTCCTTTGTTAGGAATACACTTCTCAGCTGCATCCATTTGGGCCTCGATCATCGTAGTATACAGATCGTTCACAGTGCGTTTTTCCTCAAGCTCGTACAGGACCTCAAAGCGATTCTTAACTTTCACAGTATAAGCCTCTCTTACGGAATGGCTGGTGCTAAAACAATGCCAGTCGAAACTGGTACGTTTGGCAGTTGTTTTCCCATTGGCTAGCAAACTGAGGCGTAGTTTAATTACGACAATTTTATGGCCTGAATATACTGTACTGAGAGGGTCATATGCCTGATAGTCTTTGAGACACTGTTCCCTATTTCCTGTTTACCTGTATATAATCAAGTTTGGCTTTGCAACCATTTGGGTACATGAACGTCCACAACTTTTAAAGCTCTTTTGGAAGCGTGTGTTCTAAATTATAAGCCCACATGCAGTAGCCATATCCAACACAAACGTCTTTTTTCCAAAGCTAAACCCATTACAGTCTAAGGGACTGATTTGTGCATTCACATATTACCACATATGATTTAAGGTTATGTCCAGGTAGCTTCTTTATTAATTCAGACAGTGTGTTGTAGAAGTCTAGAGCATCGCTGTCACCCGAGCAGTTCGTTGGACTGAGCAGCATATAATAGTAGTAGCAGGGTTGTCACTTAAGTTTGCCACGATGATTCGGCTATTCACCACAATATTGTCCTCGAGGGAGTAGTAAGCAGAGGGGCTTAGTAGCATACCCACTCCTTCCACGCAACTCCAGCACGAGGAAGTGGCCAAGATCCAGCCTTTGCCGACATAAGTATAGTGCACGTCCGCATAATCGTGAAATTTTCGATGTTCCTGCAGACAAACAACAAATATTCCTTTCTCCTCTGCCAGCGCGGTAAGCTCTCCAATCATCTCAATGGAGTTGAGTGAACGGATGTTAAAAGCTGACACCAGAGTGTTTATCTTGCATCTTAAGAGTCTTCCAGTAGCTGACTTATCAACTCCAACATGGTTGCCCACTGGGGGATGCGGCCCTTGTTTATCCCGGCGAGGACCGAGCAAGTATGTAGGGAAGTTTGCAGTGTTTATCAATAATAATAATAATAATAATAATAATAATAATAAATGTCTTTATTGCTCATTAGATAAAAATACATATCCATTGTTACAGGATAAAAAGATTAAAAAATGCAAAAAAATAGTTACACATATCTGACATAAAATATCATGAAAGGTTGTATTTAAAAATTAATCTGTTTACAAATGTGTTCTTATAACGTTCGGTGTTTATCTTGGGCCTTTGGAACCTTTTACGTCGAAGATTAGATTGTTCTTTTCTTGCGGTAAGCACACCTTCAGAGGGTGGTTATCATGCTGTTTAGCTTATTGAAAAATCGCTTTATCTTGTTTTTGTAGTAATGATCTAATATTTAACTGTATAGATATAAAGCGTAACTTATAGGATCTGTCTAAAAATTGCTGAAGGACATTAATTTCCGCTTCGGAGGCACCATAAACAGACAGTCCGTAGGTTATGTTAGGGAGAACAATACTATAGAAGAGATACTCAATTTCTGTCCAAATCAATGTTTTGCTGGGCTCACTGAGACAAATACCAGCAAGCGATGCTGGAGGAGCGCCAGACCTTCCAGCGGTGGGCTCGTTTTCTGTAGGGGCTGTCTCCCTTAGCCTGTGGCCAAAAAAAAAAACCCTGACTGCCAGGCAACAGTTTGGTGACCTTGACAGGCCTAACGGGTGTTACGCCTTGCCCAAGGGCTACCCGGAACTATGCATTGCAGGGTAGGGAGGTTCATGACCCTGACGCACCAAATTCACCAAGTACACCAAGTACCCGCATACCCATACCCGCATTACTTGTAGTGGTAAATGATTATAAAACTTCTTACTTGATTTGTAGCGGAAGTTGAGGGAATCACTTCAAGAACGGCATCTTTGTCGCTTTGCTGTGCAATGTTCACTTGCTCCTTGTTTGCAGAATGTTCATCGTCCATAGCCTCACTATTAAAGGCGAACCTTTGCTAAATGATTTTTAAAAAAGGCGATTAATTTATATGTAAGAAAATTGTAACATTAAATTTTATTTATCATTCGTCAAAAACCACGATATTTAATTCAATAACAATAGTCTTTTGTTACGTGATATTTCTTCAGTCACTGAAACCTCACCTTTCGCTTCGCCTAATACTCTTAGGAATGAAATATATCATGTTACACCCTTCGTATCGAGAGACAAGGCATCCTCGGAGAGCCAGAGGCAGTCAGTCGGGTCGGGAGAAAAGGCGCGGCAAAAAATAGTTTTCAAGCAAGGGCGGAAGATCCCCTGGGTGCCAACCCTTACTAAACTATTTCCAAACGGTCAAGCTGACTGTGTGCAAAGAATGCTTTGTATTATTGTGCCCAATTGATAAACACCATCTCCTGAGTTCTTTTGGTGTGTTCGTACACGACAGCTATTGTCTCGCCATTATGATACTTGTTTGGCTCTTACACCAAAGAAATACACGCTGTCAGGAAAGTTTCAGTTCGATATAAAGCCCGTCCATGGACTCAAAGAAACCGCAACTGTCTACCCGAAAACTAAATTTGGAAACGTATGAAAGGGTATTTAAAAGATGTTTATCCAAAAACATAAACTTGAGCTTACAGCACGTATTCAAGCTTGCATCGATCCTTATCGATCACGCCATCGTAAATATCATTTACGATATCTTGTGCGGTGCGCAAAGAAAGTCGTGTCCGATAGCCCGGGGCTAGTGGATTTTTCTATCGGGCTAGTGATTTTTCCCGACGGGCAAGTGCTGTTTTTTGGGGAAATTCAAATTACAGAAGGATGGTAATCAGTCTTGCTAATCAAAAAGGGTTTGGGGGCTAGTTGAAATGACTTGTGGGCTAGTACATACTAGCTACAGCTTGCCCGAATGGCAGGCTGTAAAACTGACTTTCTTTGCACCCTGCTTGTGACAGAATGCTCTAGGTCCTTCTGATAGCATCTGAAACGTCTTCCAAAATCATTAGTAGTTCCTACGTTTCTGATAGGGGAAAAGTGAAAAAAGCCAAGATTCCCCTTGCACGCCCAACCTTGGTGAAAGTATGGCGAGAAAATAGCCGTCGTGTGCGAACACACGAAAAGAAAATAGGAGCCCCTGTTCGCCCATTGGGCAAAATAATACAAAGCATTTTTTTGTGCCCAATTAGGAGTCAGCACTCGCCGGCCATGGATTGTTTGAAAATGGTCTGGTGAGAGTCGGTAACCAGGGGCTCAAACGTTTTTTCCCGAACCACCTGACTGCCCCTAGGCCTCCAAGGATGGAGACAAGGCCGCTTGTGGCTTGAGTGTGTTTATTAAAATTCTTACATCAGGGAGACTGTGAGTGGCTGACGCCATGTCCTTTGGGTCGACAATCTGGCGCAAGGAGATCATTTCCATGGTGACCTCAGCCTGCTCTTCCTTTGCCGTTTTCTTCAAAGGTTTGCCTGCTTGTTTTTGCTACGAAGAAGAAAAGACCGTTCAATCCACCCTAATAAGCGTGTTCCACCCTCCCTCTTACACCACCCTATAAAAAGGACATCAATAAAATTTTATCAGAGGGCAATAAACATAATAACCTTTTTGGTGATTTTTACAAGCATGGGAACAATTTCAGTGTCTTAATATAGTCTTAAGTCAGAACTGACCGGCCAGACCATTCCAGTCATAATGAGAATTTCACTTTTAATCAAAACTATCAGTCAGATCCCAAATACCAGGCACAAAGGAGATGGTGTTTCAACAAAAGCTCTTGCAAAAAAGCATTTTTCGTTGTCAAAATGACTCGTGCCGGCTATGGTCCGACCGGCCAGTTCTGACTTTTGGAAAGTGCCCTTAATAAAGTCTTTGATTACGTACAATGAGCCGACAGCCAGACACAGAGAGCAAACAACAAACGGTTTGGGGACTTTGAAGAATAGAAAAAATATCAGGTTCAAACAAAATGGATGAAATATCGAATCAGTACAGTTTGTTAACAAGCCTACCTTATCTCTGGTCTCTCCCTGATCTTTCAAAACTTCTTTGTCAGCATATGATCTCTCGGAGGCTTTAAGTTCGTTGATCTAGACTTCCAGCAAGTAAACTTTATCAGTTTCGGAACAAATAAAGACCAATACATTTGTGTGACTTTGCTTAAAGGTGCCCGCAAAGTTTTCGCTTGAACACGTGCATCAAGCCAGGGAAGCCAAAAATATCCAGGGAGCTTATAACAGAGTTTAGGCCCAGACCTTATAGGGGGTGGGTGGCTGGCTTTTTTGTTTCAAAAGTAGGGGGTAGGCAGGGGAGATTTTGTCACTTTGATAGATTATCAAGCCAGAATGCAGTTCAAAGTCAAGGCAGTTTCCCTGTAGGCTAGTACAGCCAAATAAATGCTGTGACTCATAATCGTAACACTACTAGCAGAGCTTGGGAGGGGGGAAATGAGTTTCATGGATGGTGAGGATGCGTCCTTGCTCCTTGGACTTGGCTGTCTATAGAGTGAGTTTAGGGACCTTATATCATATCCAGTCAGATATATGATAATGTTAAAACATCTTCCCTTAAGCACTGAGTAATCTCGGGAGAAAATATTTTCTCTTTGTAACAAAAGTTATAAAAAAAATTCTTATGATTTCATCAATGACAAGGACTTTATCTGGTATGAAATTGGCAACTTCGCAGATGTAATCTGCAATAGTCCCAATACATGATAAGGCTGGAAGCTATATAGTCATAAAAAATGGTGGTCTAACCTTTCAGAACACGAGAACACGCTGCAATGATTTTCTTACCTTTTTTCTTCTGCGGCGTAGCCACGACAAGAGGTCACCACAGGGAACGTATTCTATGACCAGGAACATTTTCTCTTCAAGCGTGCAGCATCCAACCATGGATACAACGTTCTTATGTGAGCCTAACATCTTCATCTGTTCAATCTCAAACGTGAACTCTTCTATTTGTGCCTCAGATGGATCATCTATTAAAAGACAATTTGAGAAAATGATTATGTCTTCTTCATTCTTCCTGTGACAGCATATTATTTCAGTGCTAGATTTTTCATTTGCATGACAAATATTCATCCCTTTTTATCGCACGCATCCTCCTATGCACAAAACAACAGGCAGATTCTACCTTCTAAGTGCATTTCAGTTTAATAGTCACTTTACCGCCCCATCTTCTTAGATAGCAGCCTTGGAGGAGATGCGCTATCTGGAACAGTCGGGGTGGGTGAGGCATGCTACCTTGAAGTCCTATCCTATTTACCCTCAGGCCTTAGCCGTTGTGTTTTCGAAGGAGAACAGTGGTGAAAAAAATAATCGACAACAACAACAATACTAACAAGAACCAAAGCAAACGAAATAAAAAAAATTGGATTTTTTCAAGTGATTTTCTGTTGGGGTCTCAGAAAGGTCCAAACATGAAATAAAAAAGAATTCGTTTCTGTTGCATATAAACAACTCAAAATAAGTTACAAATTCAATTAGCCCTTACGGCTTTGTCTCTTGTTTTGTAGATTAAAATATTTCTTACCATGTAAGACTTTGACAGCCACCACCTGTGGTGCCTTCGGCTTCGTGGATGATGAAGGCCATTTGGAAGTCTCAGTGACCAACGCCTCCATCTCATCCCTCTTTCTAACGGTTGCTTTGTAAACAAAACCAAACTCTCCTCTCCCTAGCTCTCCCCCGAATTCTATTTGCTCAGGCAGCATTTCCCACTTATCAGGGGGTTGCGAATCAGGTGATCTGGAGAAAAAGGACATAATAAAAGCTGGATTAAGGTTGCTATTAATTAAAAAGCGCTCGTGAGTAATCGTAATGATAGCGGTGGTTGTTATCAGTTTAAGCATCATATCTTCAACCTGAAAAACATACCAGCGAAAACGTTTGGCTCGTACACGACTATTTGTGTAGACGTGGACTTATAGAGAAACCAATGAACAACGCATTGAACAGGGGCATCGGACTTGCCTTTCCGTCTGCGTTTCTGCCACTTTACGAGAAGAAATTAACAGACAAATTTTCAGGCAAACGAAATTGGAGGGTTGTCGGAAATAATTACCAATCTCCTTTGTAAACATGATTTTAGTGACGTGATTTAAAAGAGGTGTTAAGTGATAGATCACACGTGAGAACCTGATAGCCCTGAACTTTGGAATTGAAAGCAAAGCTGAAAACCTCGTGATTGACAATGAAATAGTAGAACAATAGGAGGTAGTAAAAGAGAATTATTTTGTGATGAGAGTGTGCTGCACTGTGAGGAAAGGAATAAACACCATCGGTGAGTGTGTTGGATAACAACTATTTGGAGGCAATTCCCAACACAAGTGCGGGCTCCTCCGACGGGACACACCGGGATTTGGCTCGAAAGAAGAGCAAGGCATTTACGGAAACTCAAGTACACAGCGACGCGATCAAGGAATTTTAATACTGAGTATATTTACGAGGCGGAAAAAACGACGCCAAAACTACCAGTGCTAACGCGATGGAGGAACTAACGAAAGAATTTAACGGGAAGATTCAGTCTATCAAGTTTTCGCTAGACAAAAATGAAGAAGAGAGAAGCGAAGCGAAGCGATATCAAGACACGAAGCGCTGTTGATGTCAAAATTGCAGACTGCTCACACAGTGAAAGAATCCATTATGGAGCTGAAATTTGCAAATGGAGAATCACATGAGCGGGTCACCACATGGGCGAAAGAACACGAGACATTTCTAAAGAAAGCGGACAAAAGGGATTTAACAGTAACACAACAAGTGGCAATTAAAGGGTGCCTAATTAACCCACGGGGCGAGAGTCGAATCTCGGACCTCCGATCTGGAAGGTCAACGCGTTATCTATTGCGCCATGACGACTGATATTGAAGCAGCCCGTTCACAGACCCCCTATTTTCTCTTCAAAGTCCGTCGAGCGCGCGTGGTAAAATATAAACCGCGGGAGATTTATTGACCGCCAGTGCAAGGGGGTAGCCCCGGGGGTACTTTAGGAATTTCTGGGTGGGGATGTGCCGCTGGGACCCTGGAACCCTTAACCTATACCAGAGCTAGTTCAGCTGAATTGTGCTACCCTATACTAGAGTAAACTCCCCAAATCCCCTATCCTAGAGTAGCTGTTTCCCTTGTCTAGATAGAATCTTCAACCAACTGATCAGTTTCCTGAAAAATGATATCCTATTCTAGACCCAAACGCTCTGATTTATATACTCTATCCTAGACTAAACTGCTTGAAAACCATACCCTTCACAGCGGCACATACCTATATAGCCCATATATGGCAGTACCCCCCCCCCCCGGCAAGGTAGCGGGGGGGGAAGAAGAAAATAGTGGCGCTTGGGAGTAGTGGTGCTTGGAAGTAGTGGGCACAAGAAAAAACGGGGGGGGGCGAGAATGAGACGCGAGGGGGGAGGGAGCGCCTGCCCGGAAGGCCCACGAAAATCGTTTCCCCCCCCCCCCCCAACCTAATTACCTGGCAGCCGTTGCGTGATCTGTCAAAAGTTTTGACAGAAAACGACTGACCTCGCACAAACAAAGCGTGCTGCCAAAAAGAGTTGCACATTAATTTTTATCTTCCGTCTAAATATATCTGTTATAAAGATCAGCTGGTTTATCTGATTATAGAGCGATGGAGCAATAAACGGGTGGTTAACACACAGCTTCAAATCGTTTTTAACCACGTGCACAATAAATAGAAAATAACAAAGTCAAAACTGGGTATCTTTTAAAGAATGCATGCTGTGTATTATTAAAAAACTAAAAACATTATTCTCTGAGCTTACTTAGCCACAACTGTACAGACACCAACGATCACAGCGTACGTGGAAAATGACCATTGCTTTTACTGCGCTAAGTGGCAGCCGTTTTTGGAGCAGACATGTCTTACTAAGCTGACCTAAACTTCAGAACACAAACTGTACCGACACGTTTTCTACTGCAGCAACGAAACATGAACAACAGACCTCAGGTCGCCTCCGAACGGCGAATAATACAATAGTGAAATGTTTTTTCAAATTCATGCCCCTGGTAAGTGTTTCATTTCATCAGTCATGTTTTGATGGTCTACGTTCCATCGACAACACAAGCCGCCAAGTTCTCCTGAGCGAAGTTCTCTCTTTCGCCCACGTGCACTACTTCCAAGCGTCCCCTACGCAGGCTAACGGTCTGTAGACATCTTTGGGAAGATGAAACTTTGCTTTCCCCAGGAAAAGCAAATTACCATTTGCTGAATGGTGATTTTCTCATCATCATCCTGTCATCATCCCGTCAACGACTCATCACGCTCGCATCATGCCAGTAGAAGCGTTTGTCATCAAGGGACGCGCTAAGGGCAACACCCTCCATTGTAATTTACATAAAAAATAACATCAAAGTGCCGCCGAGTTGTGAGCTTCGGATGGAGTCATGTGACAAGCATGTGTTGACCATGTTGATCATAATTATCTTTTGTATCGGAGTGTAGACTATGACGACTGTTTGGCACAATTTTCAAGCAAATACGTACTCAAAGGAGAGCCGCGCCAGGCTGTTTTGGGTTTCCTGGAGCAAAAGGATGTTGTGGCGGTTTTTCCCACGGGTTTCGCTAAAAGTTTAATTTAGCAGTTGTTCGCGGCAGTCGGAAACTCAAACGAAGAAAAATAACGTGGAGTTGTAGTTGCATCACCATTACGAAGTATTATCAATGATCAAGTTGAAGCAATGAGAGAAGCAAAGTGATGAGGTGATGCGGACATTTCTGTATTTTAAAAACCGAAAGCTATCATCGTCGTGCTCGCTTTCTTGAAAGCTGGCTTTAATAGAGGAAAATCCAGCTCGGGTGCCTCTAACCTGATTACTGCAATGCGAACAAACCCTACTTGACTGATCTTCTGTTTGCGAAAGGGTAAAATCAAGATCTCTTAAATCGTCCGCCTTGACGAATTCTCTCAAAAAAAGATTCTCTGTAGCTTTACTGGAATGGGATAATTGCCCAGTACTATTGAGGTATTCAAAGAACCCACATGTCCTACAATAATCCGATGTGCCGATTTGTTTTGGCTTCGGACCTCTATTGGCCGGCTTTTTCGGCGTAGAAGCAGTCTTAGGAGGGTCTAAGAAGACATGCTTCAACAAACACGTGACTCGGAGTGTCATTGTTGTTTGATTGTAAAATACTTAAGCCAATTACACAAGCAATTTATTTCTCCAATTCCATTAGTCCAATTTAATTGATACTGCGAACGAGGAGGTGATAATGATGAGGCGTTGACATGGGGGAGGGACTTAATAAACCTGTATTTTCCCAAAGATGTCTACAGACGTTCTTCATTTTTCTTTCTCCCGCTCCGCGCTCGTTCTCGCACGCTCTCTTCGCTCGCGAGCTCGCTGATGTTTTTGAAAAGAACGAAAAGAAAAATAAAACAACGTTTGTTTACAGACTAATATTGAAGTCGCTTGATAATATAATCATCTTTAACACTTTTGCCCATGAACTTCTGCCGGTGGACGCTGTTTGAAGCCGGCAGAGCTTTATTTATGAAGAATTGACAGATATATTCGAGGAAAACAAGAATGGTTTTGATAGTAAAAGCCGTACTTTAACTCATTTCGTCGCATTTGAAGAACGTATGGCCGACAAGTGGCTCGTAAAACCGTCGCGAAGTCTCTTGCAGCTTCCCATTCTCGGCGTTTGCATGAGAAGAATCAAATACGATTCAGCAACAGTAAACAATTCCGTTTTTATTGAACAAAGAAACATTTCATTTCAGAATAATACTTCACTAAAAAAAAACCTTGAGATTGGGAGTCTCGTCGTGAAAAAAGTTAAAACATCGTGAGACTCACGGCAGAATCATGAGCTTGGAGCAGACTGGGAGTCGAAAAGCAATTGCTGATCTTTTCGTCATGTTTATCGCCTGGACGAGTCAAAAAGCTTCAAAAGTTCATAAACTTCCGTCTCAACGTTGGCCATAGTGCTAATTTAAAAAGGGCAAAGTCAAAATAAAGACAATCGTCCTGTGACTCCTGTGAAATGTACAAAATCAGCACATCGCGGAACAGGATGACGACAGTTGTCGTTAATAATAATTATAATAATAATAAAGGAATTTATATAGCGCTTATACATCGCTGTTCTAAGCGCATTACAATGTAAAAAAGGACATAAGAATATCATTAAGCACAAGCTTACATATAACCCTACCGTACACATCTTAAAAAGGAAAGAAAAAAACAAAAACAAAAAACAAAAAACAAACAAAATCAAAAACAAAAACAAAAACAAATATGACGAAACTAAATGTCATACATCTTTTTAAAAAGAAACGTGTTCAACTTAGATTTAAAAAGATTAACATCAGAACAAGCTCGAATTTCAAAGGGGAGCTTGTTCCTAGTCGGGGGACAGCAACGAAAAACGCTCGCTGGCCATAAGTTTTCATGTTAAAATTGGGTTCTTCAAGGCGTAAATGATCCCTTGATGACCGTAATGTCCTAGCTTGATGGTAAAATTTTAAAATATCTTCAAGATATCGGGGACAATATCGGGTTGTCGTTTTGATATCGGGCGCTTTCGTGCGGAGCCGACTGATCTACGAAAGGAGTCTACATCTGAGTGAACATTTGCATATTGAAGTGCCCACAATAACTTGTTCCTTACGCTACGCGTAATCCACAAGTTAAAAATGGAAGGAAAAAAGCGACTGGCAGACAAGATGGAATCTGATAGAAGGGAAATGGCGCTCTCAAAGATGAAACACGAGGAGCGGATGAGCCAAGAGCATGAGCTGTTGGATCAGCAGGTGAAATTCCAAAAGACCATAGAAGTCAGCCAACAAGAACAAAATGCAAAGAAAACCGTGACCCCAAAGTTGCCAAAGCTTTCTATCAAAAATTCGACGCAACATTTGGAAATTGGCTGCCTTTCTGGGATAAATTCGAGGCCGAAATGGACACAACGGAATTAGTGTCTGTAACAAAATTTGCCTATTTGCAAGAACTATTGGAGCCTAAAGCCAGGGTAGACATCGATGAATTGCCGCTTAATACAGAGGGATATGAAAAAGCAAAAAACACAATCAAAGACGAATATGGAAAAACGAGCGGAGTTGTCAACGCTTATGGCAATACATTCTTCAACTCCCCACCGTGACAAGCGCCGACCCAAATAAAGTGAATTCCTTTTACAAAACACTGCTGTTTAACGTCCTGTAACTGGAAAAGCTTGGAAAAATTGAGAGAGTAAACGGAATGACAAGAAGCGTGCTAGATAAATTGACAGGAATCAAAGCCCATTTGGTCAGTGGACAAGAAAACTGGCAAGACTGGGATTTACCACGTTTGGCCCAAGCTCTGAAGAAATGGAGAGACGTGCACCCAGCGACTGAGGGAAATAACGTCGAAAGCATGACTACTCCGTCTAAGCGCCCTGAGAACAGATCTCGTTTTTTCCGCGCAGAATCCATGGACAAACGCCGTCGTGTTTACTGTGATGACGCGAGTCACATCACGCGCGATTGCACGCACGTATCAACGATAGACGAGAGGAAAGAATACTAGCGCAGAAGCGATGTGCTTTAATTGCACTGGGCCAAGACATCATACAGCTAAGTGAGGAGTAAAATGCGTTGTCAGAAGTGCAGACAGAAACACCATACATCGATTTGCAATCAAGGAGACCAATTGTTGACAGCCACCGTGAACCAGGGGCGTGTTGTTTATCCTGTGGTGAAAGTATTCGTGGACGGAGTACTGTATCGTGCACTTCTGGATACGGCATGCTTCAGCTGTGCTTTTGGAGAAACTTCCCAAGCCCTCTCGGGCTAAAAAAGTTCGTCGAATAGAAACGATGCTGGGATCGACCACCCGTGAAGTAGAACTTTCCACAATCAAAGTACGTTCAACTGATGGCAATGAAGAATTAAACGTTGACGTTACCAAGGTCGAAAGACGGGAGTTGCTGATGATTAATAACCCCACACTATCAAAAGATTGTCGAGTCGTACGCTCATCTAAAGGGAGTTGAGATGACGTACTGTGAATTAGGGGCCAGCGAGTATACAGGGATCAAGACGTCTGAGCTCCACTGCGTTGGGCTCCTAGGGGAACCAGTAGCAGAAAAGACCAAGCTGGGGTGGACTATTATGTCACCGGGAACTGAGATTGACCACACGAATATGCTGTGGACACAAACGTGTCATGTGGATTATGCAGAATTTTGTCGGCTAGACGTCTTAGGTTTTAGAAGATACCCCAGAACATGACCAGCGCACAGTCTACGCAGAGTTTAGAGAACAGTTGGTAAGACACCCAGAGGGCTGGTATGAAACTTCGCTACCATGGAAAGGTAACCATCTGCCTTTGCCAAACAATAAAGCAGTGAGTTTGCGAAGGTTCAGCAACCTCCAGAACAGACGCCAGCGCTTGGATGTGACCGAGAGTTATGGACAGATAATTGAAAAACAGAAGTCCGTGGGAACAGTAGAAGTCGCAAGTGATTCACTGCAGGCAAAAGAATTCTACATATCTCACAAGCCGGTGATCTGTATTGCCGGATTGGCACAAGCACTATTGGCAATTACCTTGATTAAAGATTAAAGATAAAAGGAGCTGAAACTACGAAGCTAAGGATCGTTTATGACGCCTCGTCTCGAGGGAACCCTCGTGTGCCAAGTTTAAATGTTTCTCTTTATGCCGGACCACCGCTTCAGAATCACCTGTGGAGTATTATTAGTACGAATGGGCTTTCATCCAGTCCTTATCACTGGGGACCTACAACAGGCCTTTCGTCAGGTGCGCATAAATAAGGAAGAGAGAGATGCACAGATGAGATGATTTCATTGGAAGACCAGTGAACATTTTGAAGCGGAGGTGTTGAGATTCACGCAAGCTCTGTTCGGTCTTATGCCTTTTCCCTTTCTTCTTGGGGGAGTGATAGAGTGCCATCTTGAAACCTGGGAGTTTTGTATGCCACACCTTGTTGCTGAACTGCGCAAAAGCATGTATGTCGACGATCTGATCAGCGAGAAACCAACAGTACCAGAGGCGAAAAAGATGAAAGAGGTAGCCATAAGAATCTTCGAAGATGCTAAGTTGACGCTGCACAAGTGGCACTCGAATGTTGCCGACTTAGAAGAGAGTGAAAGAGGGGTTGAAGACGAGGGAACTTTTGCCAAACAGCAGCTCGGTCAAACAAAAGCAAAGACCGGACTCTTGTTGGACAAACAGGAAGATCAGATAAGTGTTATCATGCCTCCATATGATGCAGTCGCATCAAAAAGAACATTGTTGTGTAATCTGGCAAGAATTTACGACCCCCTTGGTCTCGTGGAGCCGGTAACTATCAAGGGAAAGTTATTCTACAGAGATGTTTGCAACGTGAAGATGGCCGGGGATGCACCGCTACAACAAGCCAATGGATACGATGGAAGAAAGAGTTACCAGCCGAGGTCATGGTAACAAGGGCTCTGACATGTGCCCAAGAGCAGATTAAAGGAATTGAGCTCCATGCCTTTGGAGATGCGAGTAAGAACGGAGTGTGTGCACGCAGTTGGGAGACAGCCATCAGAGGTAAGCCAGGGTTTGGTTACTGCAAAGGCTCGACTAGCGAAGCAGGGGCTGACCATTCCGCGATTAGAGCTGTTGTCGGCACATATAGCAACAAACCATATCACAAACTTAGGGTTGAAGGGCTTCCTGTTAACGGCGCTATGGATGGCTGGATAGCTTAGTTTGCTCTCCATTGGATAAACGGCGGCGGCGAATACAAACAGTTCGTAGCAAACAGAGCGATGAAAATACAAGAGCATTCAGGGATCACTTGGTGCCACGTACCCACCAAAGAAAATCCGCCAGACCTGGGAAGTCGAGGAGGGCAAGCTTTGGTGGCAAGGACCGGAATGACTTTCAGACAAAGAAAAGTGGCCTACAGACATCATGACAAGCCGCACTCCTGAGAGCCAAGCAGAGGCTAAAATTACCAAAGAACTTTTTAATGGCGCCATTGCGTCAACTGGGTGCCTCAATGTTATGCTAGGAAAGTTTGACCTGACCAAGACGTTGAGGATTGTCACCTGGACCGCGAGATTCATACGGAATTCACGCCTGAAGAAACAAGAAAGAATGATGGGTCTATTGACGACCGACGAGATTAAAAACCAGCACCTGTTTTGGACCAAGCTCCCTCAAGAGATTCAAAGCGATGATGTGACGAACGATCGAGAAAGACTGGGTTTAGAAGAAAACGACCGGGAATGCTCATATGTCGAGGTGGTGTGCAGGTACATTACCCGGTATACCTGCCTGACAAGCACCCCTACACAGTGAAACTCGTTGAAGACGCCCATCGCCGTACGTAGCATGGGGGAGTAAGTTTAACAATGGCGCGGATCAGAGAACGTCATTCGGTGCCGAGGCTAAGACGTCTGAACAAGAGAGTGATAAAACAGTCAGAGCCGCTGCTAGACCCCCTCCCGCCCTTGGAACTGTCATTCGACCGGACGCCTTTGACAACTCAGGAACAGCTAAACCCTGAGGTTCGAGAGTTCAGACCTACCCGTGAGGCTGCAGTTGCAGCGAGAGTACGAATGCAAGATATTGCTGACAAAGAGCAAGCCAACTGAACATTGAACACCGACTCTGTAGAGAGTTTGGGAATCATTTCGTTTTCTGTTATCGTTTTGACTTACATGAACGTTTAGTATGATAATGTTTCTAGAGATAAATGCAACATATGTCACCTAAAGGTAGACATATGGGGGGAGAGTGTCGGAAATAATAACCAATCTCCTTTGTAAACGTGGTTTAAGTTTTATTTGATTTTAGTCACGTGAAAAAAAAGGTGTTAGGTGATAGATTACACGTGAGAGCCCGATAGCCCTGAACTTTGGAATTGAAAGCGAAGCTGAAAAGCTCGCGATTGATAGTAAAATAGTAGAACAATAGGAGATAGTAAAAGAGAATTATTTTGTGATGAGAGTGTACTGTACTGTGAGGAAAGGAATAAAAACCTTCTGTTAGTGTGTTGGATAGCAACTATTTTGGAGGCAGTTCCCAACAGGGTTGGTGACAGTTTAAAGAAATTTAAGACCACGTTTAATTTAAACAGATCGATATCCGGACATATGAACGGACAAAAACTTGCACAACGCCGCTTTTCGTTTACACGGAACCCGCGAACCGTGCAAGTTTTTGAACGGCAAATGGTACTGAAATTTGATACAGAATTTGCACAGTTCCACAGTGTAAAAGGGTTGCACGGGAAAAGCCTGAATCATTCGTTGAAATATTTGTTCGGTCCCGTGTAAACGGATCTATAAGAGGAATTTTTCATTTTAATGCACGGGTGATTTCATTGATGAATGAAGCTTCATCCGACTCAACCAGCCCTTGTCCTTTTGGGTACTGCTGAACACATTTGCTCCACAAGCCCATTTTTAAGTGAGAAAACGTCACAACGAAAATTTGCCATACCCGATTAGGGGTCAAACGCCGCTTCTCGAAACCGGCCTTCGCCTTCCAAAAATGCAACCTCACTGACTGGGCATAGTTTGGTATCGTGTTGATATGAAAGATAACTCTTGGTCCAAGATAGGCTCAACAGCGGTTGTCCGTCAAAATAAACAGCTGCTACAATCTTGGACAAAACTGTTGAGAAAATTGTATACTTGGACAGCATTTTTCTAAACATCGTAGCTGTACCGGTTCTTCCCTCTCCCCCTTCCCATGAAAGCAATGTTGTTGTGTATTCAAAAGAACGCCTAATCCCTGGGCGTTTGTGGGAAGCAAGATTGAATTGGGGGAAGGGGTTTTCTTTGCGCAAAGGCGTCGTTTTGGAAATAGTTTTGTTGCGTAGGAAAGTGGACACGATGGGGAAAACTTTCTCAAGTAGTTTTGTCCGGGATTGTAGAAAGAGGCATCTCAGAAGAAAGCTGTCAACCAAGGACTTTAGCCATTAGCCTTCATCCTATCGTTTTCTGTAATTCACCCAGCCTACCAAAAGTTGAGTTTCTTTGTGCTGAATGTTCGTGCTGAGGCTCTTGGGTGTTGATTCTAGGTTGCGTTCTCTCGACCTCGAACGCAATAACATCTTTTTATCAGTCAAGTCAATTTTCAATTTAATTTCCAAGATTTTCTTGTACAGTATCTCTTCTTTCTCACTGTCCCAGCTCCTTGGCTAAAACAACATGCTTGATTATTTTCTTTGTAACTGTCAATGGCGGGTGCACGACGCTATAAGTGGCCACGGGATGTAATATAACCAATAACATCGCCCTAAAATTAAACTTTAGGAAAGTGTTTTCGATACACCTTCAACTAGAGAAAAAATTACGCCGAACAATGTGGCTAGCAAATTAAAAGATACACAAACCTTTCAATAGTCTTTAACTTCTTTCTTCTGTAGCACCAGACAACAATAGCCACAGACAGTAGCAAAAAAGCGGAGGTGATACCAAGTGAGATGTAAATGACTTTAGAAATGGCGCGGGTCGGATTTTCGGTTTTGGTGTTCTTAACTGCAAGGAAAGGTATTGCATTGTAAATGGCACAGAAAACGTGCGAGTATTCGCTGAATAAAACAGGTGCTTTATCTTGTGAAAACTTACAAAAAGATTCTTAAAATCTACTTCGCTGCTAAGTATGGCTATTCCCCCTTCATGGATCCTCGTTAAAATAAACTAGGTTTTCCCTGTTTCTGAGGAACATGGCACGGCGAACCTAAAGTAACAATTTTTAGCTATTTTGTGTCCATTGTTCTTGAGATTACTTACCACTATTACACAGATCTCCTTCACAACAGTGCAAATGATGATCATCAAATTGTGTGCATTGATCAGCGGATATACAGCCTTGAATGGTGACTTGTTCGCCGTTTGCCATTGTATTTTCATATTTGAAACAAAGGTTTTCTGGAAAAGTACAGCTGACTTTAATGGGAACAGAGAAATTCCTGCTAGGGTACTCATAACAACCTAAAGATAAATGCAGAATAATAGAAGCCTTTAAAACTATCCAGCATCTCTGACAAGGTCACTTACCTCAAAGTCTGGGGCAAAAGCGTGAAATCATAACTTGCAGACAAGCCTAAAAGCGGAACTTTTACTAAATTGGAAGTCATTCACGAAAATGTGATAGACTTTAACCTGAAAATACTAAACAAAAGCTTTATAGGAAAAACATAATGCACATTTCGCCCAATTTTAGAGAAAAAGTAATAATTTTCATACAACGTCTTATGTGGTTGTTGCTGCATGAACAAATGATTAGCTAAGTAAAATAAGGTTGCTCAGGGCTCTCGTATTGAGCTTGGGCTATTGCGATAATGTGCTAAGTGTAACCTTCTCGATGTGGATGATAGAAAACGTACTTGTTGTTGACGCTGGCATTTCACAAATATAGTTCTTTTCGTCGTTACAGTCCCCCGCCTTTTCTATCTTTCCAGTGTTTCTCTCCATTTGCCAACAATTCGAATCATCTTTTCGGCCAATCCATACGTGCTGTATAAAGGAATTACAACGGATAAAGAAAAAATATTAAATGGAACAATTTACTACAAAAACCACAATTAATCAAGGTGGTTGAAAACAGTTTGATGATGGGAGTGTCATTCAAGACTCGTTATGGATTGAGGCTCATATTTGGTGTGGACAGAATACATTTATACTAAGGACAATAAATTTGACATTTCAGAAGTAAGATTTCGATCGTCACCATGGCGACAAGGATGTTTTGAAAAAAGCCTATTTTTTTCAGTTTGTTCAACCTGGTTTTCACTAGCGCATTAACGTAAGCATAAGGACATACCCACGCGCAGAATGGCATATTTGACTCAATTCTCGATACCAGCTCTCCTCAAGCCAATGATAAACAAGATGGCGGACGAAGCGTCCGCCATATTGCTTTTGATATGTTCGCATGACGTCTGCGTCAAAGTGGCCTACGATTGGTCCACGGCCTTGTGCCTATGCTTGTGCTTATGTCGACCCAGTTTTCACTTGTCAGAGCTACGACATGGGCATAAGCACAAGCACAAGAAGAACGTACTTGTTCGTTTTTCTTGAGCTTATGCTTATGCTTTATGTCGACCCAGTTTTCACTTGCTTACACATGTGCTTGTGCCTATGCTTATGCTTATGCGCTAGTGAAAACCAGGCTTAACCGCATGATAACTTCTCGCCCAAGAATCTTAAGCCTGGTTTTCACTAGCACATAAGCATAAGCATAAGCATAAGCACAAGCACGGGTGTAAGCAAGTGAAAACTGGGTCGACATAAGCATAAGCATAAGCACAAGAAAAACGGACAAGTTCGTTGTCCTTGTGCTTATGCTTATGTCGTAGCTTTGACTGTTTAAAACTGGGTTGACATAAGCACATGCATAAGTACAAGGCCGTGAACCAATCAAAGGTCACTTTGACCCAGACCTCATGCAAACATAATCAAAGCAATATGGCGGACTAAGAGTCCACCGTCTTGTTTATTATCGGGTTGAGGAGAGCTGGTATTGAGAATTGACTCAAATATGCCATTCTGCGCGTGAGTATGTCCTTATGCTTGTGCTAATGTGCTAGTGAAAACCAGGCTTTTAACTTCTCAGCCAAGACTTTTCCAAGAATGATATTAAAGGTGATGTTGTTTCGTGAGTTGTCCGCCTGATGTAACTAACACCACTGCCTATATGACAGTATGCAGTTAATTATGATCACTTACAATCAAATTAAGTTAATAATTTTTGTCAAGAAGGGCATATATCGTTATTCAATCAAGATAACATTTTAGATCAAGACGTCTCAGCTGATGAGAGGCAGAACAACTGGTTTTCTATCAAATTCACCAGAATTGCTTGGAAACTATGTATGTATGAACGATAAACTTGCATTTTATAATAATTCAGTTTGTGCGCTCAGCTTGCCAAAGTAACCTCAGATCAGGCTCAATTTTCGTTTCGCTTTGTAAATAACATTCCGGCGGGCAAGGCGAAACGAGAAGAGAGCCTGATACAAACCTTCTACGAAACGTCTGCCGCCCACTTTTTTGATTGATTGACATTTGCCGAAATCAGCCAACCAAAATTACTTCAGTTCCTTGTTTTTTTTAATATGCACATTTTCCATACGTGGGAAAAATGCAGACTCGTTGACTTAAAAAATAGCTTTTACCTTTTAATATTTTCAACTTAAAATAAAACAGTCAGCACAGTCACATTTAACTTCCTGCCAGATTAAAGGAGATTTCGAAGGTTATTTCTATTGGCGTAGAAGATAAAAAGTTTTCGAAAAGACGGCGACACCAGATGTTCTAGTTTTAATGTTTTGGCTAGGCGCGCTCGAATTTAAATACTGAAATTTCTTTTTTCCTCTTGCCTTTATATTTTGCTTGGCAATTTTCCCCGATTTTCAGTACATAAATCTTTAAAAACCGTGGAGAAATATGTCACGAAATTTTTAAAAGGATATATAAATTATCTCAGAACAAAGCAACGAGTTCTCAAGTGCATTTAATTTAGCTGATTTAGGCCCGTGAGTACACTTGCAATTTGCGAATTTACTAGAGAAACAAACGTCTAAAAAAATATATTCCTTTATAAATCCGTGTAAACATTATCACTTTGGAAAGCTATAAGCAAAACGAAAAACAATATTACCAACGCACTTTGTAGTTCTCCTTTAATTAGATGTGTTCATGTTTTACTGCAGGTCTAAAAAGCTCGCTAAATTTTATTTTGTATCGAAATTAACAAACAGCAAACAGCCAACGAGCGAGGACACCAGTTTCCGTGGTTTACTTTTTACAAAAAGGGAAGGCAAACAACAAGTCTGTTACCTTAAGAGTAACGCCACTAGCTTTTATGATAATGCCAACAAAAATTCCCTGAACAGCGATCATGCGATGTTTTTCGTCTAATACTTCACAGTTGGCGATTGAGGTTTCTTCGGCAATGAGCCTCCGTTTGCGTACCCCGCTCAGAAAAGTCATTCCCGGCTAAACTTTCAAATAAAATCACTTTTAAGATGGACAGTATTTTGATCGGCACTCGTTTGTTGGTAAATCAAAAAGCACCTTGTTAGCGGTCAACTCTGAACTTGCAGAGGAATTCAACTCCGCGATACACTCACATGAGTTCCGTAAATAAAGCAAATCCAGAGAAGATATGAACAACCACATGAATTTTCTGAATTTCCATGGTACATATTAAGGCATATTTTCCTACCATAAGACCATCAAACAAAAAAGACAGCAAAATCGACCTTTCTCTCCGCCGACGGCGGATCATTCACGAAAACAACCACGAGAAGAATAAGGGCTTTCAACTTCCGGTGTTTCCGACAGCTAATCAGATCTTGTGGCATTGTTCTAACAGCCAACCAGCGTTACGGCCAAAATCTGGCCGTAACGAGCACAAACGTGAGAGAGTTTGTATAAGGCCCAATTTTAGCCGTGGCCGTTAGAGAGAATGTATGAGAACCGCAAAAATTGGGCCTGATCTCAGGTTATGCCAAAGTAACTGAGAATGAGAAACGTGGTCTTTTGAACATTTGCGTTTTTCAAGTTACAGATACAGATGAAAATGGAATTAAAACTGTCTACGATCTACATCATTGATTCAATTGGGTCTGTGACACGAACTACACAGAACATGTGATTTCTCCGCATTCCTCTTTGAAAACTCTTCTCATAATTAATTACCCTAGCCTTAAGCGTGCTCTATCAAGTGCATGAAAAACCTAACATCTCAAGTTAAATGCCCGTTTCCTGTCCTTACACGTTTCCTACAGATGTGGTGGGAAGAGTAATTGTATTAAGGAATCATTTACATTCACCTCGGGTGATCATGTCCTTATACAATTAATTCTTGTGACTACTATGTTTTATAATGCATTAATATTACATGGAGAAATTTAATGCTGATCATGCGATCATGAGGCTCAAAGAGTTAATGATTTGGTACTTACATCTATTTTCGGTTTCTTCAGACCGGTGACCTCCATGAAGTGAATCAAAAATCGTTTTTGATTATCATCATCACCCTTCACTAAATCACCTCCGGAAGCAGTACACCCTTGTTGTGCACCTTCCCAGGTATCTTTATTATTTTCCTTGTAGCAAGATACTCCATTGAGAAACCAATAAGCAGAACAGGCCAATGGACCTCATTAGTGAAACATTTACAGAGCAAATAGTTTGAACCCAATAAGAATCATGGCATTGCTGTAAACGTTACAGAGACTGGGACGAGAATCAGAGAACAAGGAATAAAATATTCTAAAATTTCCCGACAATCAATCAGTTGTTATATTTCATCTATTTTTTTTAAAATAGAATATAAGAAAAATTAGGATCTTTAATATGTGTTTGGGCCGGTGGTAATTATATAATTTAAAATTTGCATAATTATGGGTGTGGCTGGTCATGTGACAAAAACTGGATTGTAACCACAAAAAAGGTCCTTTAACCCAGGCACGGTTATAAATAATGCACCTATCAATGTAATGCCGGCGGGGGGGAGGCAGGGCATAGGGTGGGGATTTGACTTTTTGCAAAAATTTGCAATCAAATTCCCTGCCCACAGGCAAATCATTCCAGTCAAATGCAATCAAATTTCCCCACCCCCCGGCTGCACATTGCTGTCAATCCCAAGGCAGAACCTAAGAAAGGCACAATAAAAATACCTCCAAATAAAACTCTGCAATCTTTTATAAACGTTGCTGCATCACCAAAGATACATGTTCCTGTTACAGCTGCAATTATACGTTCTAACCATAATCCGTGTTACAATGCGTAGAATACACATTTTGTGAGTCTGAATATACCGTACTTAGTAAAGGGTACAAAGAAAGTCAGTTTTATAAGTTTACAGTGATTGTAGCGAATGAGCCATACACTAATCAATTGTACTTGCAAAAATCGACTTGGTTTCTCTTTACTTCCGTTACTTTGATACCACAGTATATTAACAGGTTCAATTGATCAAAAACACGCTAAAACAAACGAAATTTGAAGACAAAACAGTGAAATCCACTCAGCCTTCGCTTGTTTTCATAGGCCTCCATGACTTCTTGATCCTTTCAAACCGCATGGCGCATGCGTAAAGCGTGGAAGCGGGAAACATATGTTCGGTCCCAGTCTTTTCGTCCGAGTCGGCAGTCAAATATCTCCACGTCGGGCGAAGAAAGATTCAAATATCCCTTCCCCCGGGAGAACAACATCAGTCAAATGCCCTACCCCAGGGACAACAAAGACAATCAAATCCCCACCCCATGCCCTGCCTCCCCCCCGCCGGCATTACATTGATAGGTGCATAAGGTTAAAATGAGTGAGAAACAAAACGTGAAAACAAATGGAAAAAGCCAAATATCAGGGTGGATTCTAGCCTGCCTAAAATTCAAGGCGTAAAGGCTATCTAAAGTCCGTTTAAGAGTTTAAGCTGTTAATGGATCAAAATTTACCTGTGCTTTGGTCGTACCTGGTACGGTTGGAACTTCCCCATCATTTTTAATGTCGAGTTCCCACGAAAACAACTCACCTTTCGATCTCTTGCAGAGGAGATGTTTATTTTCCTTGCAGCATTCGGTGAGGTTCCAGCCATTTTTCAAGATTTCGACGCATTTGTTTTCATAAACAATTCTCGACATGTTGAGCCACTGGACAGAAACAGAAAAGTTAAACGATTCTCCATTGTTCCATACATATCCACCGTTTTGATGCCGATACGTCAACCCAATCCAAACAGAAGTGCGATTTGCGTCCTTGAAAGCCATGTCATGGACAAACTTCATTTCCTTTTCATTCGAAATACTTACCAGGTCCCCTCCAAACCCAAAACATCCGCTTAAAGCTGTTGACCAAGCAAATCTCCGCCGATAACCGAGCCTATCCATAACCTTGTAGCAAAAGCCTTCAAATTCTTTCCACGTTTCTGGGCATTCCAAAGCTAAAAAGGATCAAATTGGGCACTTTTGACTCTTGTGACTTAACAATGCAAGCCAATTATTGAATGAGGTCGGTCAATGTCGTTGTAAGTGTTGTAAGCCGTGGCCGAAGGCGGAGTAAGATAACACGAGCTGCGCCATAAGCAGCCGTGGGTGTCTAAGTGCGCCCTCCCTACTAGAGACATTTTATATTAAATTGTTAATGCCTGATGTATTTACCGTGTTTTTAAATAAAGATGATGATGATGATGATGACGGCCGCTCCTAAAAAGTTTTTAAAAAAAACTAACATCGACCAGAGCGCTCGAATGACCAAATAGCGCAAGAAATCTCTCAGTTAATTATCAAATTAAAATTGAAATTGTTAGAAAGCAAATGCACAAACTTACCAGAATAACGCCTTGTTACCGCCAAGAGGAGTGACACGAACAGTGCGAGTGTTATCATTATAGCATCAGATCTGGGAAGAAGTTAAAGTTTAGAGACCGGTCATTATTTATCGCCCGGGAGGGAGAGCGGGTCCGGAGTGTTTTTTTTGGGGGGGAGGGGGGTGTTCACGAGAATGAACTATATTCAAAAATTGTACTCAAACTCTTAGCTACGAATTTTACAATTAGACCGAATTCAAATTCACAAAAAGACTACTACGCGAATTCAAAAACTATTAATCGAATAAACGAAAATTGTCTCTCTGTCCAAGTCCTTCCAAGTTCTAAACTGTTCTCACTTATGTTTTTTAACACTAGAGGTTTTAATCTCGGCCCATGCAAATTTCTATCACACTTCATCCAATCAGGGCTCGAAGGAGTCCTTTAACGCACGAATGTCTTTCACCAGCATCGCTAGTTCATTAGTCCTTTTGTCCAGGGGGGTCACTTGACTTCTAGGAGATCAGAACGGGGGATCCTTCGTAAATCATAGAAAAAAATTTGGAAGAATTCAATTCAACGGACCACTAAAATCTGCTTGAACAACACCAGTTTAAAGCATGTAAAATAAATGCGTCCATTCTACTGGGAGATAAATGTCTGCAGTCTCAACTGGTTCTAAGTTTCACAAGAGCTGATGTGCCTCGAGTTGCTTCTCCCTGCATTGTTTTTTGGACTTTCCTCTTGCTTTCCCTCTTTCTTCCCGTCGTTGATGATGATTTTTTTTTTGGGCGGCGAAAACTTTGGGGAGAATCACGAATTTATCAAGAGTGATGAGGAGGATCACTTCAGTAAAACATCATTTAAAGGGAGGGGTCCAAAAAATCATCCGACTAGCCCCATCCCCCCCCCCAGGCGACAAATAATGACTGGTCCCTTACAGAAACATTTCCTCGATCAATGATTAATAAATCGTTGTATCCCAAGAGCCCATCAGGCCCCACTTTCTTTGGGCTTACCAACGAAATAACTTAAGAGACATACTGGGAGAACACCATTTACAAGCTTTTTTGATCTCTTGTTCTCCCAACATCCCAAATATAAATGGGTTTTTTCGCCGGTTAATCAATAGAAAGTGAAGTCTACTCCTTGCATATACATAGTTTTTGCAGGCAAAAATATGGTTTATTATGTCAGAATGATGAAGTTGCACCTTCTTTGTACATTTGTCAGTTTAGGCGCGGATAATAGTCCCAAAACAACGATTTTAATGGAAAGATAGTGACTTCGCGGCAAAGAAATTATTTTGTTCCGATTTCCATCAAGCAAGAAACAGCATTATTCTGAAAGAGCATGTTTTTGTATTTCGGCTTCGAAAGCAGGTGTGCACTGTTTGAATACAGAACTAGAAGATTAAGCATCAAACTGTTCGCGGCTGTTGTTTATTTTTGCTTAGTCGCTGGTATACGTGTATGAAGTGCAAAAACGTTAGAGACTGAAGGGATCATGAAGACAAAAATTCTAAGCATATCAGCTTGAACTTCCTCTCTTCGAAACTGGAACAGATGGCAGAGGTCTTTACCTGTAATGGAAATTCGCACGGTCGTATTCAGTTCTCATACAAATGTTGCTAACATGCACGGGACAAGAAGACAAAGGTAAAAAAGGGAAAGAAAGATAGAAACAAAAATCGTCACAGCTTTGATGTTCAGTCACTCGGACAATTTAAAACCTTGGATCAAATGCCACGGTTCGAATACATTCTCTCCCCCCACCCTGCCGCTGCATATCACTGGTACTGTCAATCGAGTTCTCTAACCGAATATGCAACTTTCTTATTTTTTTTTTGTTTTCTGTCGATGGAATTTATCGCCGACGACTTAGTGGGTGCTTCCACACATTTTCCTTTCGTACTATAATATTGAAAACCGTTTAAGATCCGAAGATGGTGACGGTAACGAGATCGTCAAAAACGTATAACAGGGTTAATATTAAGAACAACTTTGCACATACACCCCCTTTTTTGTACATTTTCTTTGTCGTCACTGCATATCTACGACGTGCAAATGCCTAATTTCATGTTGTACGACGAAATTTTCTTATTCTTTCTGAATTTGCATATGGATCTTTGAAATTCTACCCTAGGAGAGCTCCCTAGATTTGACAAAATAAGCTCTATTAATCACGATAAAGATGGAAAGAACGTAATTTCACTTTTTAAGCGGGACGTATTCGCCATCGTCGCGATCGTCGGATCTTATGGTCCCTTTTTACATCTTGTATTTACTTGTGGCATAATATTAAGTCGCAATTAACACTTCTTAAAAATTTTGTTTCGTACAAAAAAAAGAATGCTTGACTATTGACTAGACAGAAAACACTACTCTGCCCAGTTCTCAGGTTTAACCCTGGTATATATTTCAGACAAAGAGCATGTCGCGTTTCTGTCGTTTCTGTGGACGTACAATTTCTCTTGTCAGATCAAGCAATCGCAAGGAGACATGAGACTGGAAATTTACTATTACCTGGAGTACCGACGTTTTCTTTCTTCCCAATTTTACAGCAGACACACTTGTCTCTCTTCTTTCATTCAACTAACAGACTGATAGGTACGGTAAAATTTTGTTTTCAAAATAGAAAGTTAAAAAATATGCAGGTGCTGTTAATTACACGGCTGTTAGCTATAGATAGTTAAATGAGGTGCAATTTGTCTACATGCACGTTATTGACAGATAGCCCATAACGTTTTAACAATCAACTTTTTCTCTTTACTCATAAATTACCATTCATTCCTTCTAAGTATTCAACATCCATTGAACAACAGGTAACAACTTACATATTACATATAACTGGCAACTGGTAGGTTATTAGTGTTCCGACAGATGAACAGCCGTGGAGTAAACGAAAGTAATATGTACGTCACAAACTTTTCAGGACTCTTTCAGGTCTCATAGGCAACATAGTTTTCTCAGGCAAAAATAGAGTTTATTATCATGTCATAATGATCAAGTTGCGTCTTCTCTTTACATTTATCAGTTTAGGTGCGTATAATAGCCCCCAAACAACGATTTTAATGTAAAGATGGTGGCATCGCGCCAAAGAAATTATTTTGTTTCAAACTCTTTTCCATAAAGCAAGAAACACTAGCATTATTCAAAGCGGTATTTTTGTATTTCGGCTACATACGAAAGCCAATGTGGACTGTTTGAATACAGAGGTAGAAGATTAAACATCAAACTGTTGGCGGTTTTGTTTATTTTTGCTTAGTCGACTGTTATTCGCGTATGATTTGGAAAAATGTTAGAGACTGAAAGGATCAAGAAGACGAAAATTCTACGCACATCAGCTTAAACTTCCTCTCTTCAAAACCGGCACAGCAAACACAAACTTTTCAGGATGCATAGGCGGCAGAAGCATAACCTGTTTCAGGCGTTGAGATAGTGGAGTGGGGAGCAAATTAGGGACCTTAAGCAACGACGACGACGGCGGCGGCAGTGAAAACATCACTAAAAAAATGAATTTGCATCCTTTCAAACTTTATCGCATCAATTTCGTCAAATAAGTAAAAAAATATTGCATAGGAAGTGTTTCATGATTAGAACGGGCTACGGTCAAGCAAGCTAATTAATAACACTTTAATGTGAGCTTTGTCCAGTTGAGGTACTAATTTGTCTCCAGATTAGTACATGAAATTAAGGAGAGGAAAATAATGGATAATTAAAAAAAGTGTGCACAGCGCGTCGACGAAAATTGCCTGATCTTATGCTTGAACGCTTGGCAATTTTTTTTACATATCAGTTGTTGGCTTTACCGATAAACAGCTGAAAGCTGCAAGACGTTGGCTCCGCTTTGTGAACAAATTATATTTTCCTTTAACGGGAAAAAGTATTCAAAGGATCAAAACTCGAAGAGCCGTTTCTCAGGTATTTAGTTATTTAAGGTCATGTCTGGCGTAACCATTTCTGCTTTTAGTCATGAGTTTTTATTAGATTGTAAATTCAGCGGCACCCAACGATCGAATGTTTCTCAATGCGGTAGTTGGTGTCTCAAAGATTTTCTCTATGCTTTTGAGGCCTGTTTGGTTAATTCGGAGCTGCCCTAAAAAAACTACTTATCTGTTCCGAGTCTTAGGGCATCTTTGGTCGTCTCAAAGAGGTTTTAGGGGACTTTTTCGTCTCATCCGAAATAACCTGATTGGGTCCGGTTAAAAGTTCGAAGAAAATCCAGTAGACGTACAGTACTTTCATTAAAACAATGTAGGGAAAGATCTGTCTCTATACCGAGATTTTTAGGCGGCTTTATTTTTTTAGCAATAACCGCAATATCTTGGTAATAAAATGCGTAAAAAGAACCTACGAAAATCGTAGGTAAGTCGCTAGGAAAACTCCAAGTATCTTAATATAATTTTTAGGAATAACATATTTCAAACTGCTCCCATGATAATAAAATTCAGTGAATATCATTTGAGAACAAGAATACAAAATCGAAATTCACTTCAGTGTCACATTCTGTTTTATGACGCATTGATCCGTTACAAAGAAAAAATTCATGGTACTCAGTCTTCGGGCTCAAAACGGCTAATGTCTCGTTACGTACATCCGTTTCATTTACTTCAGACCAGTAACCTCCTTGAAGTGAATCAAAAATCTGTTTTAGATATCACCTTCAATCTTCGCCCTAAGACACCTCCGAAGGTATTACACCCTTGTTGTGCATCTTTCCAGGTATCTTTATAATTTTCTTTTTACCAAGATACTTCAGCAGAACAGGCCAATGGACCTAATTTGGGCAACACTTCCAGAACGAATGCTTTGAACCCAATAACAATCATGTCCTTACTATTACCCGTGAGACTTTCATTTTAGAGGGAGACTAGGACGAAGATAAAACAAAATTATAATAAATTAAATAGAAAAAAAGAAATTGTTGTTGTAATTCTAACTTGATGTAAACGTTTGTATAAATACAGGCGTGGCTGATCATGTACAGTGTTAGAAACAAAAATGGTTTCTTTTTTTCGGGTACAGTTATAAATACGGTTTAAAGGGATGGCGAAACAAAACGAAAGCTAAAAAGGGTAAAAGCAGGATATAAGTAAGAAGCTATTCGTTAATTCACATGAGACAGCGCTAACACTGGCCATTTAAGAGCCAATGTCTGTAATTTTCGAGAATCGGTTGACAGTCGTGAATTTTTGAATTTCTTCATATTTTGCCCACATAATCTCTATAGTACACTTATTTCAAAAATCACATTAAAACTTGTAACGGCTTTTTATTTTTTCCTGAATCGGGCAAAGTATAAAAAACACCAAATCGACGCTCTTTCGAGTATGAAATTAGCGAAAATTAAGCATTTTCTTCGCGCTCGTACATAAAAACGGGACGATATCTCTAAATGAAATCAAGTCATAACGAAAACACAGACTTGTACTTCATAATTGTGCAATTATCTTTAGATAAGCTGTTTAAATGTGACTGTGTTGGCCGCAAGAAGAAACACGATTTCGCCTGTTTTCAAAAATGGCAAATTTGACCTAACTTCACCATCGAAAAAAACAATTGATACACGGAATTTCAACATGAAACAAACACTATTTTAAAGCACATCCTTTGCCGTTTCTTGTGTTAAAAAATTTTTGGCGGCATTACAAAAGTGCGTCGCTGAGACACCGAAACGTGCAGCGTATTTTCTCTCGTTGGAACGCTGAAAACAAGCTAGTGAGTGTGGGTACACAAAAGTTTTTGCTAACTTCAGGGACCGCGCAGAGGGAGGGGCTGGGGGGCTTTAGCCCCCCCACTTTTTTGTAAGAATAAAAATAAATTTAACAAAAAATAATTTAACATAAGTAACGGAGTGAAAAATAGCAAAAAATCGAAAGTGACCAGAGTTACTGGCAAAGACAAACGCGCAGATAAATAGACAGAATGAAGCATTAGTCGTTACAATTGTGAAATATTTTTTCGCTTCTAACCTAGCAGAGGTAAACGTCTTTTAAATGGCTTCTTTTTCCTGCGGACCTCTCAGGAAAACGCGTTGTTTCGTAATTGGTCAATTTCGATCCAAAGTAATAACTGGGTTTAGTTTATAAGGCGATTCTCAAACAAATTGTTTATTTTCAACCTTGATTTTTGGAAGATCATGAAGTTATTGTTTCTCTTGTTATTGTGCGTCCTGATTTTAGCTCGATCAGCGCGAAGTCCGTCTTTTGATGTCAGGCTTCACGGCTCGTTGAGCATTCCAATTGCAAGTTTTGTTGAACGCGGTCTGTTTATAAAAACATTTTGTCATCGAAAGTACTTAAACCGCAGAATTGTGTATAGCTCTGGTCATCAAGGAACTTTCAATCCGGCGGTTATTACGAACAAAGAAGTGCACATGGTACACGGCAACATAAATACGAACGACGAGACTTCACATACCACTAGTAATGCAAAGAAGAGATCTCTTAAAATTTCTGATTACTTTTCCAAACAAAATGGAAAACCTTCTTTATCTGGTGAGTAAACTCTGCATAATTTTTGCTACGTTTTTCTGAATCTGTTCTATAATTGAATTTTCATTCACTAAATTATTTTCAGTTACCGTTTTGTTTTGCCGTGTAAATATTTTGAATGAATAACTAAACAATTATTGAACTCGGCTTTCGTATGATATGAAGATATACAGGTCTCGGAGGGTGTTATCCACCGGGCTCAAGCCTTCGGCTTTGGCGGATAACCCCCTCGATCTGCATAAGCAAAATCGTTAGATTTCTGGCTTATTTATAGTAATTAAAGGTTGATATCAGTAGTATAACATAATAATCCATGATATTTCAATTTAGTGATGGTGAATTTTCAGACCCGATAGCAACATCACTGAAGATGTGGAAAAACATCAATAGTTTTATCGTTAGTCGCATTCTCCGTCACTTTAGAGAAATTGAATAGAAATCCACGAGCATGCCCCCCCGCCCCCCCCCCAAAAAATTTTCTTTCACGCATTCTTCTTTAGCCCCCCCACTCGAAAACTTGCTGCGCGGTCCCTGTAACTTAGCTCTTTTACAAGGGGCACATTACGGGAAGTTCTTAAAATCTTTTGAAAAAGGCTTTTCAATTTGATGGTTACAAAAAAGAGCTAAGTAGATTAACACTGCATTTGATTGCACGCAAGTAGCTGAAAAAGACAACGCTGTTAAGTTCTCATGGAGTGCAAATATTGACCTCGAGTTTCTGCACCTAAAATGAAGCCGCTAGAAACGGCGTGCTAGCTCTAAATGGGATTCGAGATCTCTAAGAATTACTTACCACAGTCGTTTCAATCGCAAGTGGCCGCAGTTTACTGAAGTCTTCCGGCGTTTAGCCTCGGACTAAACCCTGTGATGCGTGATGAAAGCCCGCGTGTAATTCGGACGATGTGATTTCCTTCAGCGAAAAGCAAATAAGCCAAAGAGTGACCAAAGAGCCTTAGCTGCAAAAAACGGTCCTCGAATTGTAAAGCGGCGTTGACGTTTACATGAGAAAGCAAGTTATTTTACAACTAAAAAGAGTTAATAAGCTTAAGGTGATCTTTGCGTTATTAAAAGAAATGCTGCACTGATAACAAGGTTCTAGAATATTCAGGTGCACATGCAATCGGATACTTACACTGTGTCGGGTTTGAATTCCTAAGGTCAGAACAAGTGCAGCTTTTGGCAAGGATCTAACTCCCTTAAATGCGTGAGTGCTATAGAGATGCCAACAAGTTACTATAGAAATGCTGACGAAATGCTTTTTAAAACAGACAATGTATGCCAAAAAGTAGATGCCAAAAAACAAATGCTAAATACCGTATGCCAAAACACATGCCAAAAAAATTAAATGCTAAAGAAATGTAAACATTATCTATCAAGTAACCAACACACAAAGAAAGTCATAAAATATAAAAAAAGAAAAAACTAAGGAGAAAGTGAATATGTTACAGTGCCCAAGCAGTTTAAAACAAATGAATTTCGAAATGGAATGTTTCTCAAGCCTTCAAAGTTACTATAAATACAGAGGTGATAATCTTCAACAATAACGAAACTCAATCACGAAATTCCAGAGCAGTGGCACTTAGCACCCATGCCCGTTTACGATTCAATTCATCCAAGAGCTTGCTCCTAGGAGCCTTTGATCTAGTCTACTTGCGTAATGACACAAAGAACGGCACTTTCCGGCCATGAACATATTAATTTTACTTTTCTGTTTTGAACGGCAGTTCCCGGCTACGAACATACTAATTTTACATTTTCTGTTTTGAATAGCAGTTTCCGGCCATGACATATTTGGCAGTTCCCGGCCGTGAACATATTAATTTTACGTCTGCTTTTATTTCACTTTTATTTTTATTCTCATTTGATAATAAAAATGTTTTGTTTTGAGTTGAAAATAAAGGAAAAGAAGATTATCACCTCTGTATTTATAGCAACTTGAAGGCTTGAGAAACATTCCATTTCGAAATTCATTTGTTTTAAACTGCTTGGGCACTGTAACATATTCACTTTCTCCTTAGTTTTTTCTTTTTTTATATTTTATGACTTTCTTTGTGTGTTGGTTACTTGATAGATAATGTTTACCTTTCTTTAGCATTTTATTTTTGGCATGTGTTTTGGCATACGGTATTTAGCATTTGTTTTTTGGCATCTACTTTTTGGCATACATTGTCTGTTTTAAAAAGCATTTCGTCAGCATTTCTATAGTAACTTGTTGGCATCTCTATAGCACTCACGCATTTAAGGGAGTTAGATCCTTGCCAAAAGCTGCACTTGTTCTGACCTTAGGAATTCAAACCCGACACAGTGTAAGTATCCGATTGCATGTGCACCTGAATATTCTAGAACCTTGTTATCAGTGCAGCATTTCTTTTAATAACGCAAAGATCACCTTAAGCTTATTAACTCTTTTTAGTTGTAAAATAATTTGCTTTCTCATGTAAACGTCAACGCCGCTTTACAATTCGAGGACCGTTTTTTGCAGCTAAGGCTCTTTGGTCACTCTTTGGCTTATTTGCTTTAATTTCGCTGAAGGAAATCACATCGTCCGGCTTCGATAGCTCTTTCACACTCTGTCGATCGCATCTTCTCCATATCAAGTAAGTGAGTAAGTGAGTGGGTGAGTGAGTGAGTGAGTGATCGAGTGCCATTCGAGTGTCTCCAAAAGCCCATGGCATGACTACGTCATCCATGAGCTAAAAAAACTCTGTAGCTTTAACAAACCGTCGACGTCTAGAAAGGCAACCTCGTTCCCAGGGTTCTCTCCAACGGAGAGACAACCTGGGAACGAATTTAGCCTGTTTACACGAGGTTAGTGGGAAAGGAATGTATGACAGCGGGGAGAATTGGGTGACCCCGGCCCGAGCGGCTGCGAGGAAGACTATCGTCTCCCGCCAAAAGTCTCAGGTTTCTTTCTTTCTTTTTTTTTTTTGAACGGCAGTTGCCGGCCATGAACCTATTAATTTTACTTTTTGTTTGTTTTGAACGGCAGTTCCCGGCCATGAACATATTAATTTTACTTTTTCCGTTTTAAAAGGCAGTTCCCGGCCATGAACATACTAGTTTTACTTTTCCTGTTTTGAATGGCAGTTCCCGGCCGCGAACATAATAATTTTACTTTTTCTGTTTTGAATGGCTGTGAACAAATTAGTTTCACTTCTGCTTCTATTTCACTTTTATTTTTATTTTCATTTCATAATAACAAAGTTTGTTTTGAAATTTTACAAAATGAATCTATTTCCAGTCAGGAGCCTGATGGGCTCCTGTTCCAGTTCAATGAAAAACAAAATAATTTGACGTTTTTCTTTCGTTTTATTTTCAATTCAAAATAATTAAAGTTCAATCTAAAATTAACAAATTTATGTCGTGTTGACGTATGGCAGTTGTCGGCCACCATACATAACGTCAAAATCCGTCGCGTAAATGAAAAAAATGCTTTAAAGTGCCTCAGCCATTTTACTTACTATCTTTTAACCAAATACGTTGCGGAGAAAAGAGATAAAAGGCTGAAAACAGCCTTTCATTTCGATTTAAAATTTCAGATGGAGAATGCCCTTTTCGTAGGTCTGCACCTGCAATGACTTGTGTGCTAAAACTCCTTCATGGTGGTATCTCTCAGGCAAAAACGTCCGCCTAGCGGCGAGGAGCGAGGAGAGAAGTCCGTGGCCATTTTCGAAAAGAAAAAGAAGTGTAAAGGCAGCACCTTCGTCGCTCAGAAAACGTCTGCGTATTTAAGTTTCTTCAGGCCGCACAGAGTCATCAATTAATGTGCCTTGACGGACCCCTTTTAAATGAGCAGCCAGCATGGCCAGTAGGCTGTTCCGGAACGGAACAACGTGATTTGTTCTCCGCCACCCGGAACCAAACATTTAGCGGTGGTGAGGAAAAACTTTTATTTTTATGCGCCAATTTTGTGGATCAAACAAAGTCTGCTAGCTCTAAATGTAGTGATAAAGACATGGATTGTTGTATGTGTAGGGTTGATCCTAATGGAGAACCCAATGCCAACCAACCCACCCATCTCCTCCTCCTTCCCTAAAGTAGACTTTTCATGACGTTAGCATAATCACCTGAGACCTCTTGTAAAGTTCACTAAAATAATAGCAAGCACCTTCGTAGCCTGTTCACAGACCCTCTACTTTTTCATTAGAGATCGTCCATCTATTTTCTCTTTGGAGATCGTCGATTTTGCGTATGAAAATAAAAGCCGCGGGGGATATATTGACCAGTAGAGCAAGGGGCTCTCTCTCGCTCGCTCGCTTCGCTCGCGTGCTCGTCTATTTTCGGAACGAAAGAGGAGTGTAAAAGCTGCACATTCGTTGCTCAGAAAACGTCTGCTATATCATTTTCAGTTCAGGCCATACAGAGTCATCAATCAATGTGCCTTTATGGACCCCTCTATGAGCAGCCAGCAGGTTGATCTAGAACGGTACCACGTGATTTGTTGCACCGCTACTCGAAACCAAACATTTAAAGGTGGTGAGGAAAAACTCTTATTTTCATGCGCCAATTTTGATCACCTAACGTAAATGCAGAAAACCTTACTTTTATCATTAGCATGGTAGGGTCGATGTTTGGTTATTGCCCTACATACCCACCTTACTAACAAGTCAGGAGCATACCAAGGTGACTCACGACATCTTTTCTATGATCGCAATACATTCAGCATTACTGCTGCCACAGGCGCCACAAGCCAAGTTTGAATATGTGCGAGATGCTATACGAACATACAACAAAGACTTGCACCGTAAAACACTTATACCAGGAATTTCGTTTCCGGCGCGTTACGCGTCACGCACTCCCGGAATGTCATCTTCCCTCGTGTTGACAGATTGAAAACATATACAAACTTAACTTCGATTTTGCCTTGATGCAGAATTTAGTTAGCGGTACTGTGACCCCGTCTAGCATTTAAATTCAGGTAAGTAAATAACTTTTCTGATTTTAAGGTTTCAATACGATTAAAACTTTTGCAAGCGAGTATTTCGACAATAATCCCCTCTACTAACTGTGATTTGAACTGCGTATTTGTCTCTTCATTATGGTTTATCGCAAAAATCAGTTGAAAGAATCATGTTAAACCGCACAGAAACGCCGAAATATAATCTGAAACCGTTACAACTCTGACTAGGGTTTAAATGTCGAAGTAACTTACGTTTGCGAAGGATTAATATTCCAAGCGTCGAAACTTGCTTGTTGCACGCGCTTTCCTGGTGTCAAAATACCCTTCAGGTTTTGGTCTCTCGACGGTGCGCATTTGGAATGCTGCCAGAAATATTTTAACACAAACAACAGCAAAGGATATGCTTCAATACAGTTCTTGTTTCATATTAAAATTCCGTGTACCAACTGGGTTTTTACGATGGTGAAGTTAGGTCAAATTTGCCATTTTTGAAAAGTGCTGAAACCGTGTTTCTTCTTGCGGCCGGTGCAGTCACATTTAAACGGTTTATTTAAAGTTAACTGCTGAATTATAAAGTAAAAATGTGTGTCTCTTTTGTGACGTGATTTCATCTAGAGATATTATTCCGTTTTTATGTACGAGCGCGAAGAAAATGCTCAATTTTCGCTAATTTCATACTCGAAAGAGCACCGATTTAGAGTTTTTCAAACTTTGCCTGATTCCTGAAAAAATAAAAAGCTGTTACAAGTTTTAACGTGATTTTTGAAATTAGGGTACTATAGAGATTATTTGGGCAATATATGAAGAAATTCAAAAATTCACGACTGTCAACCGATTCTCGAAAATTAGAGACATTGGCTCTTAAGAGTTTTGGTGCCATTAAGTGATCAAATCTCCGCGGATAACCTAACATATCCACAACCTTGTAGCAAATATCTTCATATTTACTCCAGTTATCAGGACACTCCAAAGCTAAAAAGTATAAATTAATTGAGGCATCTGTGACTCTTGTAACCTAAACAATAATGAGCAATTATTGGATGAGACTGAGTATGATCTGAAGAATTATTACTAAGACCGAATCCAATAACCGTTTCATTTTTCCTTTAAAATAATTCCTTAAAAAAAACCTTCAAACAAGCTAGAAATACTTAACTTGATCGATCTACATTTTAGGTGCCGGTCTTCGTTTGCCCCAGTGTTTCTCGACAACTTCGGAGCAGTGTACAATGGAATGTTTCAGTAGTCTGGCAGATATTCTTTAAATAGTAGATGTCATCCGTCAAGTTGTATTCTTGCTGTGTTTTTAGATAGTGGTTCAGCTATTCCTTCTTCGCGGAACATGTGAAATGTTCCGCCATTTTGTACTGCTCTACAAAAACAAGGCAAACTCTCCCCAGAACTTCTCCGTTGCCGGTCCTTTTCTGCGGATTACTTTGTACTGTTGACGTCACTGTTCCGGATATCGCAGACTTCTTCCAAATCTGGTCAACGCTAGCTGGTTATGAAGAAATAACTGTAGGAAAAATTTCTAGTGTAGACTAAAAAGACACCCGTTTGAAACTTCCCGGCTCAGATTACTGAATAAACCCTCGGGCGTACAAGTGGGGGGGGGGAAGGGTTGCCACCCCAATGAGGTTTTTTGATATTTTTCCTGAAAGATGAAACATCAGCACCTGACGTTCTCAGTAGCTGTTCGTTTATCCCTCGGGCGTTTTTTCAGACAAGTTTAGTGGTGGTCGGTTAACTATGGTTTCGAGATATGATGTCATAAGTAGCAGGTGGTCAATCAATTTTTGAGTGAAAATGCATGTTTTTTCAACTTTTTTCAACAATACAAGTAACTTGTGGATGAAATGATACAAAGTGCGTATTTATGGGTTACTTTACATGTCAAGCACAGAAAATGACCATTTATCGCAATTTTACGTAACCTGCTTTCTAAGTCTTGGTAAAATTCAAGATGGCGATTGCTCTGCCTGAATCACGTCAAACCTTTTTGCTAGGTCACCGCAGCCCAAACTTTTGAACTAGTCAATCTTGTTGTCTCTCGTCAAACTGTTTTATTCGAGTGCGAGCATCCATTTATTGATAATCCGATGGACATAGCCGAGTCCACTGTCGCAAGCACAGGCCTGGGTTCGAAACCATATCCTAGCAATCTGCGGCGTATGTTCAACAAATATCTCACTCGACTCGAGCAGAGTCTTTCTCGAGTACGCCAAAATCCAGCAAGAGAAAGAAAGACGCTGCGGGCAGAGTGCAACGCCTCTGGCAGCTGGAGGCGTCGGGACATATTCAAACAAATAGCCTGGAATTTTCGGATAATCTTCTGTTGTCTTAGTCTCCGTGACTCCAATAACATTAAACCTAGTATTGAAGTTCGTCTAATAAATGAACCTGGAAATCATCAAGATTGTGCTTTAAACTTCTTACAATATTATGAAGGAAAGAGAAGGTTGAGTTTGTTGCATATGAGATGGGTATTGCCAACTCATACCATGAGAGCTTTTTTTGAAATATATTTTTCATAAGAATTTGCGTCGGCGTAATTGAGAACAATAATATTTACAAAGATCCATATAGAAGGTAGGGAATTTTAAGATATATTTAATCGACAACATTCAAGATGACAGTATAAGATAAGACTCGTCTGTAACTAAAACTTCCCGCCAAATTTCAGCTCATTTCTTACAATATTATTCTTCCTTATGAACGATCAGAAGTGCCGAATGCAAGCATTACAAATCTTGTGGAAATTTCCTTAAAGTTCTTCTTCATTATATTTCTTGTCAACGAGTGCCATTTGAAAACGAACTGAGCTTGTTGTCTTTTTTCGCAGATCAAAGATGGATGTTCTTAAAACAATTATCACTGTTTCCTTGATCTTGTTCCTGGTGATAATAAAATCTGAGCAAAACATTCAAGGTAACAACTAGTATAATTATTGTAAGTGTAAATCAATTTCAAATCATAATTGTTTATTCTACCAACCTTAAATGGAAATTGATTTAGCGATTGTATGTTTGAATTCATTCTCTGTATAAACTGGAAAAGTGTTCTTTGGTGCCCTTGAAAGCTCTAGTACTGGCGTCCCTAGTTGCTCAAGTTCCAGTGAAATCGCGTTGCAAACAAAGAGGGGTTTTCTGTGGTTTTCCTGATTGTTTTAGGGTGGTAACCATATTGATGTGCATCATGGGAGATTTACAAATTCACTGGAATTTTCGCGTCTGCTCTAACAACCTGTGATCAATTTCTCTGCGCCGTGAAAAATGTCGGTACCGAAGCAGGCTCAGCACAGACCCCAACTGGATTTTATAAGGGAAACATCATGAACTTCGAACGATCAAAGTTCAATTTGCTGTGCTATTCATCAAAGGAAGTCCTGAGAATCGATTTCTTGTGAATCGATTTCGAACTGGTTCAAGATGGGCTCGGTCCTAAAGGCCAAAAGATCTACGACAACTTTGACTGGTTTGAAGGTGACGATGTATTACGACTACGAACTGCGGTATCCGGGATGAACCGGTTAGAGAGAGCAGTAAGTCCAGAGTGTAACGAAATTGTTGCTTCTAAAAGGAATTTAAAGAACAAGTGCAAAAACCTGGAGAGACAACCCCTGTAGAGACTGCAATTATGTAGACGAATATTAGACAAGGTGGAGATCATCTTTTTACGGTGTATCTGATGAACAACAGAAAAAACGATTCCTAGGAAAGGTGGCACCCTGGCAAGAGGTGAAGCTGTTAACATTGGCAAGGCTTATGAAAGTACTAAAATTAATGTTCAAAAGTACCAGGGTAGTGCAAACCGACCTCCCGCAAAGGAGAGCATAAAAGCTGTTTTTTAAAAAAAGCCTAAGAAAGTCCTCAAGTGTAATTACTGTGCCAGCAAAATGGGAGCTCATTGCTTTTCAGGCAAGAAACTCGACCCCACCTAGGGAACAGTCTATAGAAAGTGACAGATCAAAAATCACCACCAAGACTCAAAGATCGATCAAAGAAGAGCAAACAACTCCAAAAAGGGATACAAGAGAAACACTCAGATCACAAACAATCAAAGTCATCCACAAAACAATTTGTACTGAGAGTGGAAGAAGATGGTGAGGATTCACTATTAACAAGTTCTTGACGAAATTTGTGTACTTAACCAGAAAACTGTGATCACAAGAAAGCTTTTGCAAGCCTACTATATTGCTGTCCGTTAAGAGAAGGATTCCTGTTAGCTAACAGATAGACTCTGGTTCTGCATGTAGCATTCTCCCTGTGCGGAATGTGTTCAAAGACATCAGTGGAGTCTATAATCGCAATGCAAACAAGCCTGCTCTTTCTAACTATGATGAAGAAACCATGAGTTTAGACACTGGGAACCACAAAAGTCTTTGTCAGGAGTAAATCCTGAAACCAATGAAGAAGTGATTATTCAGTTTAGAATTGTTGAAAGAGACATAGCAACCCTCATTGGCCTGAACGACTATGAAACCCTCAGACTTATTGAGGTCTTACGGAGATCTAGAACATTATTGCTGTACCAGGGCCAGCTAAACCCTCCAACTGCTAGTGAATTGTGCCAACACCACTCCCCTTGAAGACCGTTCTGACCGGACGACTACCCTCAAGTCTTTGAAAGTATAGGAACGTTTGACGGCGAACTACACCTGTACACAAGTAATAATGTCATTCCGCACAAAAGAGCTTTTAGAGAGATCCCTCTTTGTGTTTTAAAAAAAATTGTTGCTTAAGTAAAAGACCTCCAACAGCAAGGTACACTATAAAAAGTGACTGAGCCCACTAAATGGGTGAGTGCTCCTACAGCTGTAAACTGCAAACCTTCTACTAATAATGGAATTAGACTCTGCATAGGCAGTAGACCACTGAACATCGCACTCAAGCGATATGAGTATCCAAGCTCAGCTGTTGAGCATCTGCATACAGAAATTGGCAATGCTAACTAAAGTATTTTCTTTAGCTTTTATCAAGACTGCCTGTACAATTAGATGCAGGAAGCCCCTTGCTGACAACCTCTTGAGCGGACGAATGCCTTTGGCATCAGTGTAGCAACTGAAGAATTTCAGAGAATAATTGATGAGAATCTAGCAGGATTGGAAAGTGTAAAGGCTATAGTCGATGACATCTTGATCTGGGGTGAAGATGACAGCTGTGAAGAAGCAACAGCTAGCCATGACAAGAAATTTCCTGCCTTGTTAAAGCGATTCCAGCGGAATAATATCAAACTTAATAAGGAAAAGTTCCGGCTGAAGAAGACTGAACTGTTCTACATGCATATGGGTGTGGCCTAACAGACAAAGGATATATACCTGACCCCAAGAAACAAGATTGTTTTGTGTCCATACCTGCCCCAACCAACGACGATGAATTGAGAAGACTACTTAGTGATGTTACCTACCTCTCACGATTTTCAGAAGATTTTTTAACCACTGAGAGCTCTGCTGAAGAACAGCAATGCATTTATCTGGCAATAAAATAAACAGAAAGCCTGGAGCTGTAGGGTCCGTCAATTAAGCTCGCTTGATGAAATACAGACCCTCATTTTAAACCCATGATCATTTCATTAATGCTCAAAAAGTGACCTACCACTGCTGAAATACTTCGATGTGGCTGAACAAGTGGATTAGGAGCCTGCCTCATGCAAGGCGGCCAATTTATACACTTTGCATCGAGAGCATTAACTGACACTGAAAAATGCTACAGCCAAATTTAGAAAGAGAAGCAAAGTATTGTATTTCGGCTCACTAGATTTCATACATTAACACTTATGAGTAGGAAAGTGACAGTCAATAATGACCACAAAAGGCTCTTGCTGCCGTACTGAAGAAACATGTTAAAGGAGAGCTTGTTTGATGGCTATACAGCGAATTCTTTGTAGAATCAGGGGATACGACAAGTATGTTAAAGGCAAAGACCTCCTTATTGCAGATGCGCTGAGCAGATCTCAAACAACTAACCAGAACCGAAGCAAGATGGAACAAGAGATTGAAACGACCAGACTAGTTCACGAAGATCAAAGCTTATAACAAGCCGCTTAGCCGAAATTTCAGAAGCAACTCAGCAGGATACGGACTTACAATTTGTAATCCACCGTACTGATCGATTTGCTGGACATTATACAAACGAAATGTTCGTGTTGAACATGTCTAAATATGATGGTGGGCGTTGGCGTTCGCCACTATCATCCAAATTCCCGTCTGCCATCAGCAACCTGACCTTTCTGACATATCCGTCGTCACTTGGATACACCTGCACTACTTTGCCAAGTGGCCACTTGTTGCGCTTGCTTTCACTTTCCTTAGAGATGACTATATCACCAACAGCAAGGTTTCTCTTAGGCTGGACCCACTTTTGCCTGACTTGTAACATTTGAAGATACCCTCCCCACCATCTCAGCCAGAATTCATTTGCAAACTACTGAACTGTTCTCCAACGTCTACTACAATACATATCGGCTCTTTGAAACTTTCCTGGGGGCGGTAGCACTCTTTTAGGTTTCATAGTAAGAAGATGGTTAGGAGTCAACGGCTCTGGCGCTTTTGCATCACATAAGTTATCGACGCTGAGGGGTCTTGAATTAATAATGCACTCGACTTCTGTCAAGAGTGTTCGCAATGTCTCCTCATCAAGTTGGCTGCCAGCTTGTAACAGTAGCGGTTCAAGTGCGTTGCGTACTTTACGAATCATACGTTCCCATGTCCCGCCCATGTTACTAGAATGGGGTACGTTCAACTTGAATGGAATCCACTCGCAAATAGTCTTTAACATGTTCTTGATTCATCTCACATAATGCTGCTTTCAGTTCACTTCGTGCACCAATGAAATTTGTCCCTTGGTCGGACAGCTCTTGGGCAGTTGTTTCCAATCAGGATAGAAATTTCTGCATCTGGGTGGTACGGTGTCAACTTATCGGCGATGGGCTTCAGATGTTGCCATTCCCTAGCCACTTCAGGTTTTGGAATCTGCGACCGGTTAGCTGAAACAAGTTCCCGGGTGAAGGCTACTGGCATCTTCACTACACATTCTCTATGGTAGTCAAGAATCTCTAGCCCAGATATCTTTTTAGTTTTCACACGGGCATTTTGCTGCTGCATTGTGGTCAACAGAAGCTCGGTTGATGGGCCTTGCAGTTTAAACCGTTCACAAAGAGTCTCAGACACAAAAGTGACATTTGAATGATCGTCGAGGACTGCATACTGCAAGATTTCCTTTTCTGGCTCTCCCACTGGCCTGACCCACACCGGTACTATCATGGTGTGATCAAATCCACCGCTTTGTTCAGGAATTAGACATACACTCATACAATTTGAGATGGCAGCATTGTCTTGTTTTAGTTCCTTTTGAAGGCATGTGGGATGTGTTCCTGAGTATGTTTTCATTTTGCATTTCAACCTCTCCTTGCAGTTCGCTACCTGATGACTCTTACTGGCTGCACAACCCATACAAAAACGTTCGCGGAAGAAGAAGTCTCTCCTTTCACTGAAAGGCTCTCTAAAGAAATCAGCGCAATCATCTTACTTGTGCTTTGCACCACAAAACAGACACTTCGTCAAACCATTTGGACCAGGGTCCTTTGATTTACTAGAATTAGTGGGGTCTGATTTACTGTTACCACCACCCTTAGCTGATGTAGAAGGAGAACTACCCTTCTCGTTATCTGGTTTCAGCTTCGGATTTCTGTTAAATCTTGGACTACTTGATGTGGCGAGGCCTTCTAACTCGGGGATGTTTGCCTTTTCTGCTGCTTCTCTGATGAAATCTGCAAACTTAACAAAGGTAGGGTAACTGGCTTCACCATGGGTATGTCTCCATTGTTTAATTGCATCTCTCCACTTGGTTTCAAGGTAGTAGGGTAACTTTGATAGTAACTTTACATTCTCCTTTGCATAGGCCAGTACAGAAAGACTTGGAATGGTGTTCTTTGCTGCTAATACCTTGTCTAACATGTCTGAGAACTCCCTTAAGGCACTGGCATCCTTGGGTCTTATCTTAGGCCACTTCTCCAACTTGTTAATAAATGCTGTACTCACAACATTACAGTTTCCATACCTTTCCTGCAATACAGACCTAGCTTTCTGATAATAATCTCCTGTCCCAATCAGAAGATAATGTTCCACAACTTGCTTTGGCTTTCCAGTTCCATACTGATTCAACATATTCCGCTTGATGTCTGCTGCCAGTGGTCTAGAGTCAACTAGAGCATTAAAGGCACTGTTGCACACAGGATATTGCAGGGGGGTCTCCTTCAAATACTGGAATGGTCAGTTTTGGAAGTTGTCCAGAAACAAACAGTTCTTTACTCAAAGTACTTTGTTCTAAGTTAGCTTCTGTTAACTTGTCCATACACCTTTCTAATGATGAAGCAACCTTTTCCCACCCTTCACAGAAGGAGTTAACTTGACCCTGAGGATGAACAAATTGGTAACTTGAAGGGGAATTCATAACTGTTGTCGTAATTGGTGATGGACCACTTATGGAGTTAGTTACAACAGGATCAGTTTTTGCCGACGAGAAAACTTGTGTACAAGCTGCTTCTGTTTGAATGGGAAGACCAAGTTCAGGTTCAAAATGACGAACAGTAAATACTGACTGTGTTACGGCTCCCGGTAAGAATGATGGAGCAGAAGCCTGCGAACCACATGTTGTAGACTTTGGTGTGGATGTTGTTGTCAAAACAGGTGTTTTGGAAACATGTACTTTGGACTGAACTGATGTATTAGTCTCATTTGCACGGGTAGTTACTGTTAGAGATTGCAAGAATCTTTTCACTCCTTCGCCTTTACTATCACTAGGAAGATTGCCCAGATCTTCTTCAAGGGAGGGTGTTTGCTCATTATCAATCTCTTTGCATACACTTAACTTGGCTCTACTAAGTTCAAGTTCCCTCTTAAGTTTGAATTCTTCCAGTTTCTGCTCCTGTTTTAACCTTTCTATTTCTAGGGCCTTTTCTTGTTCCACATAGGCTAGCTTCACCTTCAAAGCAGCTTCTTCCTGTAGAAGCTTATATTTATCTACTTTAGTTGAAAGTACACTGTCTGAACTTGATTTTGAGTTGACACTTTTGGTTGTTTTACTCCTCTTTGAACCCTTAGAAATGACAGAATTAGACTCCAAAACTGTTTGTTCCAAATACTTTATCTCATCCCTCAAATCCCTTTCAAAATCAGACCACTCACCACAAACTTGCTCCCAGATGTTCCTGACCTTTGCTAACTCATCGTCTTGAACTGTTTCCAAAATGTCATTATATGCATCCACAAATTCATTCCACAGAACCTGTGCCTTACTAAGCTCTTGCTTCCACTTTGATAATTCATTACAATGTCCCCGAAGCAACAGTGTTTTTCTCTGTATTCCCGTAAAACTTGACCTTTTATTCTTGAAATAGTTCAACTTTATATCGTTTTGATAGGATTGACCCTTTTCGGTTAGCTTCCTGATACGAACTTCCGACGAATGCTGTTCATTTTCCACATGGAAAAATCCTTTGTTTTCGGCATTCTCCGATAGATCAACAATTAAAGGCGAAGACTTCTCCCAAACATCATCCAAACAATTATTTGAAGCGGAACTTACCACCTCACCACAAACATCCGACATTGAATCCTCAGGAATATCACTCAACTCTCGAGACATGACGAGTACTAAGTCCAAACCAAAGGCGATCAGAACTAACTTTCTACAAAGGCTTACACCACCTGGTACCCATTCAAATCCTCCACAGGTCGTCCGGCTTTCGTTATGAACTTCTTGTTGTGACAGCGATGACTTTACGGTGGTTAAAAGCTTCACCAAGGACCATTAAGTTGTTATTGTGGCTGCCCTCGAAAGTCTTACTTGGCATCCGAAGGAGTTTCGTTGTTATTCACAAGAAAAAGAGAAAAACTTGAATCGTCAGATCTTTCCTTTATCTCCAAATAATCTTTAACTCTTCAGTTCTTCAGATAACAACTTAGTCTGCCTTACACGATACGGATGAGCGAAGGATTACATGGATTGTAAACCTAAATCACACATGTGATAAACAAGAACATGGCGGCAACTAGCACGAGTCCTAAGTAAAATCGTAACAACCGCTGACCATAAATACTGGAAACTCCTTACTACAGCACTCCTGTAGTAACAGCATACTTTGTCGATATGAGTTTCCATAGACAACATCGAATCAAACCAAGCACCAAGATTTCTTACGCAATTCACGGGTTCTATATCCATTGTTTCAACTCTTAGAGGGAGTGGTTCGACTTTGCTCAGTTGTTGACGAGTACTTATTGGCGGAAATTCCGTCTTCTCATCATTCAGTAATAGACGATCGCTAACCATCCAGTGCCGTATGTCCTCTATACATCTTTCCATCGCTTGAATGGCATCAGTGTGAGACAACAATCCATCACCTGGTCTAAAGCTTAGATATAACTGAGAATCGTCAACTGAAATTGCGCATATGGGCAAAGATTCAATCCTCAGGCGTGCCAGAAGATCTTTATGGTGACCAAGGGATGAACAAGCAACTGAAGCAGTTCATTGATATATGTGAAGTCTGCAACGCCTTCCATACTAAGAAACAACATACCCTGGTCAAAAGTTGGGTCTGATATTTTTTAGTGGAACACTATCTGGTTTTAGTTGACTATTATGGACATGTCATCGCCTTGCCCCAGGGGTAGGACCCCTGGCAAACCAGCTGCAGGAGAATATGTCGGGGAATCCTTCTCAACCTTTGTGAAATCTAGAGATTTTCTCGCGACAAATCGCAGAGGAGGAGGCAGCTTGGCAGAGTGGTTAGGCGCTGGACTATCAGTTGGGAGGCGCCGAGTTCAAGTCCCGCCCTGACTGCTAGCTGGATTTGTTTACTGTAGTTCCCAGTTCAAATCCTCGACCACGCTTTTAAATAGCCAGCTGGTTTGCCTCCTGCCAGTTGGGATTCGTAACCTGTTATGTTTGATTTTAATTATTTGTTTCAGTCATTTTCTCGACCCCACTAACATAAGTGCTATAATTTAATACTACCGAGGGTAAATAAAGAAATTGTTATTATTATTATTATTATTATTATTATTGTTATTATTACTACTGTTTACTATAATTATTACTGTTGTTTACTATTATAGAAACATTGGCGAGAAAACGTGCCCAGCATACTTATCAGTTGCAGCACGCGCGCTATGGATGTGTTAAAGTACAGTTCCTGTTGCCGATAAAATTCGGAAAACTAAGGAAATATAATGAATAACTGTAGTACTTACTAAATGTAAATTCACTACTATTAGCCAGTTGTAAAGAGATTTTCTTTCGAATATAATACCGTTGCTCATTTTCATTAAACTGGGGAGAGTATTAATTTCCTGTCCTTCTTTGTTGCTTCATTTTGCAGAATACTCCAATAACATAAACCAAAAAAAGGACAAGATAAATGAAAAGCAGAACACAACCAAGAAATTACTGGAGGAATTTGTCAGAGAGATTGACGTCAGTTGCGGTAGGTAGCTAGCTAGCTAACTAGCTATCTGTAATAGCATTATTCCGTATAGTCGATCCGGCCAAATATTATTTTGAGAGCGTTGCGCTGTACAGACTCAATTAACTCGTCCAGATATAAAGGGATCGCAGCCCAAACTGGCGAGGCGTACTCAACAATGGATTTAACAATACTACAGTAGACTAACACGAGATCGTTAGTGCTCAGTCCAACTCTCTTGAGGGTCCGCAGCACAAACAATCGCTTTGTAGCTTTTTTATCGATACTGTCACAATGTTCGTTCCAAGAGAGGTTATCAGAGATCATAACCCCCAAGAGTTTATAACTAGATACTCTATCAATGACTATAGCATTAGGCTGAATCGGTGTTATAACAGTGGGTTGATACTTCAAAAAATTGATAACCATATGTTTACATTTTTTCTCATTAAGCTGCATGTTACGCATGGAAGCGTAGGTGTTAATATTTGCGGCGATACATGGAAGGTAGCTAGGCGAACATCGAGGAATGGATTCAAATACCGAGGTGTCATCAACGTATTTAATCCTATATCTCTAGTCCCTACACAGATTGTTCACTAATATGGCGAACAGCAATGGCGCGAGTTTTTTTTCCTTGTGGTATTCTCCCCCATTCGGTGTAACTGGATGCGAATAAACCTGACCGATTCGCACTCTTTGTGAACGGTCCGTTAAAAAAGAGCCGATCCATGTGATAGAGGCCTCATGCACGCCCAGCAGCTCCATTTCTTGGATAAGGATATTGTGATCGACTAAATCAAAACCTTTACTGAAATTAGTAAAGAAGATGCGTGGATAAGTGTCACCTTGGTCAAGAGCCTCAAGGATGACTTGGAGGAAGAAAACAAGAGCGTGAGTTGTGGACTTCCCTGCCAGGGCAAACTGGTGGGTGTCGAGCTTGTCACAGACTTGCTTGAAGAGGGAATCCAGCGTAAGCCCTTCCATGACCTTTGCAATATGGGGCGTGAGAGAAATAGGTCGAAGATCTTGTTCAACTACTTTGGGTGGCGAACATTTTGGAACAGGGACAACTTCGGATTGCTTAAGAAACACAGGGACGTATCCTTGTACCATCAAGCATTATAGATATTAGAGATGACTGGTGAAAGTTCAAAAGCAAACTCTTTCCAGACTTTCCACGGGATGGGATCAGGCCCCCCTGACTTGTTCGATGCCTCTCAGGGCCTTGTATACCATATGTGTGTCAACCAGCAGGTGTTCAGGGACCGGGAAAAATGAACCAGGGATAATTTGGGGCAACGGCACGAAGTCAGCAGTAAGACCTGCCAAAAAGGTGTTAAAGCTGTTAGCCAGCAACTCAGTGCACTCTAATTGATCTCCAAGCATTTGCTGCACCCAACTTTCTTCATCAGTCGTCTGAAATGTTTCAAAGGGAATTAGTACACTGGTGCGAATTTCCGCACTGCATGAAGGATTTTCGAACTGGAAAGCTTCGCTACGATTCCATCAAGGAAGATCAACTTTATTTATGATTTCACAATCCCTTGTCGAGATAATGATTCTCATCATCGCAATCTAAGTAAGGGTTATTGGCCTGAAGAGAGGGATTATGTGATTTATTCCCCTCGTGCGTTGCCCGAGGGGAATAAATCACATAACCACGAGCTGAAGGCCGATAAACGGCTTATTTTTACATTGGCGAGGATTCCTCAAGGGATACAATAATACATTGACGAAAAATGCCTCTATTGTTCATATTTCTTTTGTTTTTTAACACTCCATGCTGGCACCGGTGGAATTCACAAGTTCCTCGGCTTGGCTAGCAGTGAATGCTAGAAACAGCCTAAAGAGTCAGAAGAAGAGCCGTTTATTACTCAAACTAAAGCAGCTTCGGTGGCGGTATTGCAATTAAGCTTTCGGAAAACAATTTTGAATCTTCATTTGCGGATGTAGAAAACGAGCAAGCAGTTGACAATTTCAATTTTCGCACCGACGATCTTTCGACCGACCTGCATGTTTACAGACAAAGAAGATTCCGGGCGAGGGATCACTACAAGGAAATTCAGTCGAGGAACGAAGCAAGAATACCACAAAACACGAAGAGGTCAACTACATCACGACTACATGTCTTCATGGAGTAGGCGAGTTTGGGATGATTGGTTAAAGAACGGAACACCTTACCCTAACAGCGACACTTTCGTGGAACCGTAGAATATTAAAGACGCTGTTCAGTTTGGGACTGTGGTTCTGGCTGTGGAAATCGATGAACCAACAACTAAGAAACCCGTAAATGTGGCGCAAAAGAAACGCTGCTCAAATTAGTTTTAGTAATTATAGCGTCGTGTGTAATATTTCCGATAGACATTTGTGAATTTTTTCTGTATGAACAGCTAACTGAAATGCGAGAGGATTATGTATTAATATGCAAGGAGATAAGTGACTTATCCTTCTTGCATATTAATACATAATCCCCTCGCATTTCAATTAGCTGTTCGTTAGCCCCGCTCTTCCCTTCAAACAATCAAAGCCGCACCCAGCTTTTCAGACAGTTGATTCGGGGGTTATGTAATATATTCCCCCCCAAAAGAACAAAGGAATCCGAGCTTATGTAAAAATAAGTGTGATTTATATCGTGCAGAATCTATTTCATCAGGGGAAAGGTAGTCGTAGTATAAGCCTTGACAGTCATTGTTTGGTGTTATTCAAGAATCCACGAGACAAATTGCAAATCGTGACTCTGGCCAAGCAAATGTATCCCGGGCAAACTGATTCTTTTTAAATCAGTACGAAGAGGATGTTAAAAATACCGGATTGATCTGAAAACTACTACCCAGGATAATTATCGACTGCGAGCAAACGTCCTGCCCAGTGAAGAAGGCTTTAACCAGGCAGGGTTTGAAGAAAATATTCCTGAAGAGCCTCTAAAATATCTAAAGCAGGAAACTCTTTCGCCTGTCCCACTTCTCCCATGCAAGAAATACAGGGCAACATGGATGACGTGCTTTCTCGAAACGATCTTTGGGACGATGAGAAAGCTAAGTGATACTTTCAGTTGCAAAACAGATACCTGTCTTTTAAAGAACAATTGAATACAAGAATACGATCGAAATAAATAATCAGTGGTGTTCCAGAATTAACATCACGCACACAACATTCTTCGACATCAACGACAGCAGTGTTCACTCCCCTCAACCCCTTGAACGTAACACCACAGGCGGCCCAGACGTAATATGTGCCAAATGAATAATATATCATTAATATTCACATGGACAAAATAGATGAGTCGTCGAAACTCCCATGAACTTAAATAGTCCAAAAGTCAAAATATAACAAAACAAAGGTAAGATACCTTTAACTGAACGTATACTTGTCTTTCCTGGCCGGTTAAAGTGGCATTTTGTTGAGTTTTGCAATTGTAGGTACTATCCACTAAAGAAGAATTAAAGGCTGGCTACAAAACAAACGGACCATCTCCACGCGCCTTCACGCGAAGCGCTATAAATTAGAGAATAATCGACGAATCCGCTCCAAATTGCCATCGGCTAATCTGCAGGTAGCGTGTACTTCTGCTTCTTGCTCGCTGGCTCCACAAAACCGATCGCAAATGCACAATAATCGCTCGCTTATCAACAAACACTGTTGACCCTTACGCTTCGATATGACCGCAAACTACCAGATTTAATACGCGACGTGAATATTCAAGCTTAGCGACCACGTCCGCGCGACAATGCAACACTTGCTATGGGAGGGATGGTACTATTCCTTCTAGGTCAATCGACACTGAGCGAGGGTCCGCTGCGTTAGTTTTGGTTAGAAAACAAAAGGCGATCGCGCGACCGTCCGTACGTTTTCAACAGGGCGGCCCTGGTTTTCAAGTTCGAATTCTTCGAACGTTCGCTGTCACAGCTGCTGTCACATTGTTCGTCCGCCCGCTTGCATAGGTTCTTGACTCTACTAGACCATGGGCTCCTGACTAGACCTATTTCCTTAGATTAACTACATAAACAGTTCTTTCCAGAACTACGTCTTATTCCACAATATGTTGCCCAAACTGGTGAGGGAGGACGAGGATTTTCCGCCCAGGAAAAAGGCAAAATCTGGCCTCGGCTATGCAGCTGAATAGAAGATACAGCTGAAGATATTGTAAAGTAAAATTTATGTGCGCGATATCTTTTTTTATTATTATTATTAATTTCAAAACTCCGGGGCACCCAACGACGGTTTCCTCCAAAATACCCTGAAAACACTTTTTAGGCTATCCAGGGTACTTTTATATCTCTAGAAATGCATTCTCAGCGGTGCTAGAAATTTTGCATCTGTTCTGTCATCCTAGGACAACCGAAGACTTTTCGAAATTATTAGGGCTTCAGTATTACTTTCGAGAAAATTTTAGATGTAACTTAACGTTTTACAAAGTGAGAATTAATCTACTTCTTCTCTTCATCGCATTTTTGAATCCGAAAATTTTAGGTTTCCTTTTTCTACGAAAAAAAAACCAAACCTGGGGAGTGAAATGGGAAAAATTAAACTTCAGCAAATCGTCTGGAATTTGCTAGGAAAGCTTCCAAAATTGTACACGAATGGAGCAGTCACCTAGAAATTTTTAGCCTTCCTCAAGTAATAGAAAATTTTAAGCAATATCTGCTTCCAATCTCCGAACAGATATTTTACAGAAAACAGTCGTTGGATGCCCTTCACCAGAACTGTGAAAAACAACAATAGGTCTAATTGCAGCACACTTTCTTGTACATTTCCTTGACGTTGATTTGCATGACTGCAACGTGAAACGTCCAGGAAACGTCCTGGTTTTCACTTTTTAGGGAGGAAATGTGGTACAAGTTCTTGTTCACTTTTTCCACTGCCGCTCATTTTTTTTTTGGCTCCGCTCAACTCTGCTATAAAATTCTCATCTGTTCGGTGATCCTAGAGCAAATTGGATCTTTTTGAAAATTACGAGGGCTTCAATATTATTTTTCCCGATTGATTGACCTAGAATCAATAGTACCATCCCTCCCATAGCAAGTGTTGCATTGTTGCGCGGACGCAGTCGCTAAGCTTGAATATTCCCGTCGCGTATTAAACCTGGTAGTTTCCGGTCATATCGAAGCGTAAAGGTCAACAGTATTTGTTGATGAGAGAGCGATTATTGTGCAGTTGCGATCGGTTTTGTGGAGCCAGCGAACAAGAAGCAGAAGTACACGCTACCTGCAGATTAGCCGATGGCAATTTGGAGCGGATTCGTCGATTATTCTGGAATTTATAGCGCTTCGCGTGAAGGCGCGTGCGGATGGTCCGTTTGTTTTGTAGCCAGCCTTTAATTCTTCTTTAGTGGATAGTACCTACAATTGCAAAACTCAACAAAATGCCACTTTAACCGGCCAGGAAAGACAAGTATACGTTCAGTGAGAGGTATCTTACCTTTGTTTTGTTATATTTTGACTTTTGGACTATTTTAGTTCATGGGAGTTTCGACGACTCATCCTATTTTCTCCAAGTGAATATTAATGATATATTATTCATTTGACACATACTACGTCTGGGCCGCCTGTGTTTTAATTAGCTGTTCATTAGCCCCGCTCTTCCCTTCAAACAATCAAAGTGGCACCCAGCTTTTCAGACAGTTGATTCGGGGGTTATATAATATATTCTCCCCGAAAAGAACAATGGAATCCAAGCTTATGTAAAAATAAACAGAATTACTATCTTAACTTCCCCTACTCTCTAGTTTTTCCCTACCCACAATTCTTTCTTTAACACAAGTGACAGTTATCAGTTTGAAATCAGGGGGCGCCTAAAGCTGGTTTCGGTGCCGTTTAGCAGTTTACTTTTATATATTTGTCACCTTGAGAGAGGAGAGCATCATGTAAAGCTCTGAGATGGGACAAAGTTAATATATAGATTTAGCCACAGCTAAAAGCGAAGCTCCCATTGATAAATTTATAACTTAAATCAAACAATAATTTTGTATTGCACAAATCAGTTAACTTGAGGGCACATTCATGTGACTTTTGAGGAAAAATCTAAGTGATTTTGGAGTGAAACAAATCTTGTATCGAGTTGATATAGCCTTATATGAACACCAAAAAATAGCCTTCGGTCACATTTAAGAGCAATAATGGTTCTTGATCACAGAAGATAAGGCGTGGAAAACAAATCAGGCCGAATTTTTTGCGTTCGACAAGTCTACAAATTCTTGCCAATAAATCTGGGTGCCTACAAACCAATCTTTTATTATTTTTTATAGACCACATCTGAGGAGAAAGAGTACTATGCATCCTCGGAGACCCAGGGGCAGATAAAGGGGGCGAGGGAAAGTCTAAACGGGCGGGAAAATATATATGGAACGAAGAAAAGTAAAGAACGGCGAGAAGAGCCCCTGGGGACAATGTCTTACCTGACCAGTTCCAAACAGTCGCCGCCGTTCTGGCGTCTTATTGGTGCCAGAAAAACACAAGTTTTCTGGCACCAATCAGAAGCCAGAACGGCGGCGACCGTTTGGAACTGGTCTGGTAAGACATTGTCCCCAGGGGCTCTTCTCGCCGTTCTTTACTTGTCTTCGTTCCATATATATTTTTCCGCCCGTTTAGACTTTCCCTCGTCCCCACTATCTGCCCCTGGATGTCCGAGGATGAGTACTATGAGGCGCTGTTTTTATCATACAGACCTCGTACAAAATGCAGTATTTCACAATTTTTCAAGACAAATTGCATTCATTCAATATTCAGGACTATCGAAGCACGCGTGGACTTTTAATTAGCGAAACCGTTCAAAAAATTTCCAAAATCACCTATACGGCCAACGATGTGTAATCTTAAAAAGCGTTTGATACGCTTGGCATTTTGAGTACTCCTGCAAGCGACGTTTATGAACGGCTGAAAACAAACGGCGCAAAGCGATGAAAATTACACTTTTGAGACTACCAACAATCAATAAAGAAATATAATTCGGTAGACCATTTACAGAGACAACAATTTTCATTCTCGAAAACAAATGAGTATTTAACTGTCTCTAAGAATCGTCAAGTCTTTACTAGTAAGCTTTAAGATTAAGTTTATGTTTTAAGCCGCCGGTTTCCCGGTTTTTTGCTGTTTTCAAAGGTGAACTCACGGCAAGAAAATCGCTCAAAGCTTTCTTTCTACAGCCAAAGTTATAACTAAATATTCTTCGGAACGTTTTTTCTTTCTATTTACGGTGAATTAATATCGACTAAAGGGTTTTGAAAGTTCTATAAGCTTAAGCTTATGTGTATATATCATACCTCATACTAGGTCAGATCAGTGTCTCAGTCAAATATTAATACAAACGTGCATAAACTAGCTTCATAAACTGCGCTGCTGTACTTTATGAAATTATATTTCAATAAAATAATTACTCAGGCTTACCATATTTCGAGATGAAGCTCCTGAAAGCTATCAAGTAAGGCAAGGATCGCTTGAGCCTTTATAATTCTCGTACGCATCCAACAAGGTGAAAAACAAAAACGATGCCATCCGAAGTCGGGTTATCGGCTTTGACAAGCGACGAATTTCTCAACCAAAAACCCAATAAACAAACCAGCCATGAATAAGAGAACACTCTTGATACCAGCTGTATTTCATTTTGTACATCCAGCGGAAAAAGACAGTTAAAAACATCACAAGTTGACTCAAAACTCTGTCAGCTTCAGCTGTCGAAGTAAACAACTTTCAAGATGCTGCATAAATTTTACGCATGAACTCACCTGTCAAATTTTAACCAATCAGAGCATAAAAAGTGGACATGGAGGGTGACCAATACGTGACCATGGTAAGAAAAGGTCTTCCCCGCCTGTATTTTAAAAAAACTGGCTTAATTTTTGCGTCTGAGGTCAGTTTGAAATTAAAATCGTAATAGTGCGGGGCGATACTGACATAAACACAACATATTTGATATGAATTTTTTAAAAAAGTAAACGTGAGCCTTTGATCATTTGAAAACGGATAACTTGAAAAAAATACTCGACCTTGATGGGTCGACACCTGAGCCCACGATACGGTCAGGTGATACTGGTCAGCGGATACCCTGTTTTGACAGCTGTCAATTGATGACAACATTGATGTGCAATCAGCTTTCTCCTGGGCTCCCAAAGTAGCTAGAAAGTGTGAGAGTAAACATTGGTATGCCTGTGGTGCGGACGGACGGTCGGTCGGTCACGTGATTACCAAATTTTCTGGGATGGGTAGATTTATTTACCCATGGTGCTCCGCTGGCGCGCTTCGCGCGTGGAGCTCCGCTTTTACGATTCGTAGAGTCTGCATCGTCCAATATCGTGTTATATTCTCGTTTCATTTGGCTTAACGGATCAATCACCCTGATCCGGGCTGAGACAGAATGGTACGATTTTGTTCGCTTTTGTAAGGTGACCACTAAGTCTTTGGCCTCGAGAACAGGCTCTTAGGAGTGAAATGAATTAGGTGAGAGCAAAATTGCAGGTGAACTTTGACCCGGGCCAAGACGTCGTTTTTTCTGGTGTGAAAACCAGGCTAAGGTGATCCGCCGACCGTGTGACTCTACATCCGGGAACTTGAATAAGACGAGTGTAAGTATCTGGCAATAGGTTGAGCTTTTCCGAGTTATTCGATGATATTTCGCTTACGTTAAACGTGTGAATATTATGCGTGGTTGTAGATAGTCTTATCAGTGCCGCGAAAGTGTGTGAAGTGGGTGATTGTGTGAAAGCGTGTGATCGCGTGGTTGAACTGCGGTTTGGCGAAAATATTCTGTGCCAGCCATTAATATTGTTTGGAAAAGCGACTCTCGACTCAGGAAAGCTGGATCTAGGTCTAGTTTCGGCGGGCTCTAATGACATTGAACCATAGACCGGTTTTTGCAGATAAGAAAGTGATAATTTGTGCACTACGTTTCATTCAGTTTGTTGTCTATTCCATGCGGAATCCTGTTGTTTATTGAACCGCGAAAAAAAGTAGTGTTTTGCTAACTCTCTAAGTTGTTATGTAAGCCTTAACCATGCACTCTTTCGCTGCAGTTTACTCAACTTAAAAATTTCTAGACTGAAATGACACCGGTTTGGAACTTCGCGAAGTCAGTTTACTGAATAAATGTTCTAAAATTTGCATCATTTTAAATTTGGAGTTGTTGAAATGCTTCTGAGACCATTAACTTATTGCCCGGCGTCAGATAAAGGCTTTTAATCGGCCTTTGAATGAGTTTTATTATTTTCATTGATATGTTTGCTCCGAAATGGGCACGCGGGCCCCATAATTTAGCACGTTTTCCCTCCTGGGACCCTTGCATTATCCCTGGGTATTGAGCGTGGTAATTAATGCTTTGCCAACATCAGGATCACTGATCAGATCGCTTTTCTATGCGTTCATGCCCCGAGAGTGGATATATACTTGCTTTTTTGTGTGCTGTTCCGGTTTTCGTCGCTGAACATGGCCTAGGCTATCCTTCCTTATGTTCTTGAAGCCGTTCGCCCGGCTGCGATACCTCCTTCGAGTTCCCTTTTATAGCATGAGTCGCTTTCAGACTGGATTTCATGGCGGGTATCATTCATAGCGTGTGTCGCTTCGAGTTGTTTCATAGCGTACGTCGCTTTCAGTTGTTATGGCATGTGTCGCCTTCACGTTGGTTTTTCTTGGCGTGTGTCGCTTTTCAGTTAGCCATTTCTGGCGTGAGTCGCTTACACTAATTTCATGGTGTCTTTCGTATTTTGCTCTCCATTTTGTGTTTATAGCGTGTGTCGCTTATAAGTTGTTTTCATGGCGTGTGTCGCCTTCAGGTTGTTTTTACGGCATGTGTCGCCTTCAGGTTGTTTTCACGGCGTGTGTCACCTTTACGTTGTTTTCATGGGTCGCCTTCAGGTTGTTTTCATGGCGTGTGTAGCCTTCAGGTTGTTTTCAGGGCGTTTGTCGCTTTTAGGTTGTTTCTACGGCGTGTGTCGCCTTCCAGTTAGCCGTTTCTGGCGTGTGTCGCTTTCTCTCTAGTTTCATGGTGTCTTTCATATTTTGCTCAACATTTAGTGTTCATAGCGCGTGTCGCTTACAACTTGTCTCCATGGCATGTACCACGGTCAAGTTGTTTTCGTGGCGTGTGTCGCCTTAAGGTTAGCGGCATTTCTAGTTTTAGACGTTTTCAGACTAATTTTTATAACGTGCTTTACACTCATTTCTTATTTTCGTCGCGGGTATCGCTCTTAGGTTTCCTCAGCCTTTATAGCGCGTACCCCTTTCAGGCTGGTTTGTTTATGGTATTTTCTGCTCCTAATTTAGTTTTCGTAGTGTGTGTCACTGTAAGTCTAGTATTTGGCATCTTCTGCTCTTACTTATGCAATATGTCGCTCCTCCCTTTTGGGATCGTTTTTTATGGTGTGTTGCTTCTTTTGTCCTCATGTGCAGCGCGTCATTTTGGTCTTGTATTTCGCATTTTCTATACTTTGCGGTCCGTGTTTTTTCTGTATGCGTGCTCCTTCGCACATCCTCTAGTTTGTCGCGTTATTATTCACGTTCGTTGTTGCTTACGTTTTCTTTTCCGCAACTAGTTGCTGTATTCGGAAATTTTCTTCTCTATTTCTTTGTTTGTTCGTCAATGTTATAGAAGTTAAAACATTAGTTTTTTCTAGTTTATTTCCTCGGGAAGCTTCCATTGCCAGCACGCACGGCACGTGCTTTTATCATCGATTTTTCTGGTTCGAATTTAGAATTCATGATAATGGCATCTCTGATCTGTTTTGTTTACAAATGTCGGTGCGCGATGTACACACTTGGCGGCTCTTAAACGGAAGACGGCTGCTTTCATCCTGTTATTTGGAATAAGTCATCTGCGGTTCTATGGCTTAGCTGCCTGTGCTGTTTTCTACGTTCCAGATTTATTCGGCGTTTGCCATTTGTTGTTAGTTTTATGGGCTTATAGTTATTTTCCCTCCTGGGACCCTTGCATTACCCCTGGGTATTGAGCGTGGTATTTAAATGCTTTGCCAACATCAGGGTCACTGATCAGATCTTTTTTCTATGCATATATACTTGCGTTTTTTGCCCCCCCTCCTCCCCTCAGCGACGAAAACCCGGTTATGCTGCACTTCTTTGCATACGCGGAAATTATTTTCGCCCATATCTTAGCATTCCCCGCGTGTGCCAAAGAGGTGCAGCATATCAATCTCCTACTGTTTTTAAAAATTGTCAAGTAGTAGAATGAGTTGATATTTTTGCTAACCCGGTTTTCAAAAATTCAGGTATATAGTCATTTGTTTTATTATCTGCTGCAGAAAAGCCAGGATGGGATTCCAAGCTGCCTGCTTATTCATGTAAGAGCATCCGGGACTCTGGTGACTCTAAAGGAGACGGGTGGTACTGGATCAACCCTGAGAAGAGCGGAAACCCGTTGAATGTTTACTGCGACATGACAACTGACGGAGGTGAGATCGGCTTCAACAAAATCTGAAATCGTGTGCAATTATAGCTCATTCAAACTACTTTTCCGTTTCTGATTGAACTATATTTCCCGGTTTATTCTTTATAAACAGCTCCCCCATTATCAAATTTAAAGACATCTAACGTCAACTGTACAGATAACGTTTGGGACAGGGACAGCAGAAGGCGCAGTAGCTCTTTTTTTTTTTTTTTAGCAAACTGAGGATTCCCTTATTCTGCCAAGACCGAATAGGATATGGTTTTCAGGGTAACTCAATTTTACTAATTTACATCTTGAACATGGCATCTTTTCTGATTGGACGCGAAGGCTGGCGATGCGCGGTCTACATGCCGAGGTACCAACAATATATTTTAGAAAAAAAACTCTAATTTCATGATGTTAATTGAAAAAGCACCTCTAAATTCCTTGTGTAAAACGAAGTGAATCAAAGGTGTGAAATTAGGTCTCTTGTCTTTAACAGGGTAGCAAAATAAACAATTTTTTGTCTTAAACAAGGTTAGAGTTTGAAGGGCTCGGCGACTCCTCCCCCATCCTAAACAACCCCCCCTCCTTCGCGAGGGATCTCATACGTTATGCGTAGGAGACAGCCGTTCAACTATTTTCATTGATTTGTTTGCTCCGAAATGGGCGCACGGGCCCCATAACTTAGCACGTTTTCCCTCCTCTGACCCTTGCATTACGCCTGAGTTTTGAGCGTAGTATTTAAATGCGTTGCCAACATCAGGATCACTGATCAGATCGCTTTTCTACGCGTTCATGCCCCGAGAGGGCATATATACTTGCGTTTTTTGTGCCGTTCCGGCTTTCGTCGCTGAGCATGGCCGAAGTTCCTGTCGCTATCCTTCCTTATGTTCTGGAAGCCGTTCGCCCGGCTGCGATACCTCCTTCGAGTTACCTTTTATAGCGTGGGTCGCTTTCATACTGGATTTCATGGTGGGTATCATTTTCCATTTCATTTTCTTAGCGTGTGTCGACTTGTTTCACACTGTACGTCGCTTTCAGTTGTTATGGCATGTGTCGCCTTCACGTTGGTTTTTCTCGGCGTGTGTCACCTTCCAGTTAGCCATTTCTGACGTGAGTCGCTTTCACTAGTTTCATGGTGGCTTTCGTATTTTGCTCTCCATTTTGTGTTTACAGCGTGTGTAGCTTATAAGATGTTTTCATGGCGTGTGTCGCCTTCAGGTTGTTTTCACAGCGTTTGTCGCCTTTAGGCTGCTTTTACGGCCTGTTTCGCCTCCAGTTAGCAATTTCTAGCGTGTGTCTTTTTCACTCTAGTTTCATGGTGTCTTTCATATTTTATTTGGAATTAGTCATCCGCGGTTCTAAGGCTTAGCTGCCTGGGCTATTTTCTTCGTTCCAGATTTATTTAGCGTTTGCCATTTGTTATTAGTTTTATGGGCTTATAGTTATAGTCTTCTTAATTATACCCGATACTCTGTCTGTGACGGGGTTCGATCCTGGATCGGCCTGGTTGGTGGCTCCCCTTTTCCCCCTTATTTCTTTTTTCCAGTTTCGGTTTAAAGCTATCACATGGGGTATATGTGCGTTGCCTTCGTGGTAATCGATTTCCAATTATTTCGCTTAGCTTTTTGGCACCGTTTAAAATTCGGTTAAAACACATGAGATTCCGTCAGATCTGATCATTCCTGGTGTAACTGGAAGGGGAGCCCTCCAGTTGGGCCGGTCCGCCCCCGCCTCCCTCATCGGTCTCGGCTATTTCTTTGGCTTTGGGAAGTCGACCCTTGTTCCCATGCAAACGTCGGTTTTTCAGGGGTATAGATTTTACTTACACTGCGTTTTTGATGCCCCTGCATAAGAAGGTTAGACTTGCTTCTTTTCAAGGAAATATGCTTAGCCACAAGGACGGTATTTCTAAGTCTCTGCAGAAGTCTGTGGGAAGATAAACTCCTTTACACTCTTGTACCTGCCGCCAGGTTGTTTTCTCGTGCGGCGTGTTTGGCCATATCACTCGGCACTGGCGTCTCCAAGAGCTGTTCCCGTAGGATGACCTTCTGAGATTGGGGGGAATATGACGATTTTTCTAAGTTTGTTGGCTTAGTGGCACCATTCGGCGCTCGGGTAGAAATTATTTTCGCTCATATCTTAGTATTCCCCGCGTGTGCCATTAGAGGTGCAGCATACCAATGAAAATTCTCCTACTACTGTCTAAACATATCACCGTGGCAATGAATGTCAACGGCTTGCTAAAATATACATCCCGACGAAGCCTTTCGAACTATTTTGCTTTAAGGACCAATAAACTTTGCGGCATTATTATTTTTTCTTAGCGGCATAAACAGGCAGTGTAAATTACCTTGAATGGTGAACTAAACAGGCTGATCTAAACTGTCGAAATAGCATATTGTTCCTAGATTCTCTGCATTACGTCATAAAAGTTATGTAGCACTACCTTATTAGGCATCGCTTCGAGATTCATTCTGCCTCGGAACTTTCGGGCATGACTTTATTATGTTGCCGCCTCGCAGCCTTGTGTCTGCTCGTTGGCAATTATATGAATAGCTGAAGAAACAAGTTGGGGTGCGTTTCTTTACAAAAAATACCAAAAACGGATTATTGATACAAATGATCTACAACGGGGGTGGATCCAAAACCGGATACTTTGGATGCATCATCCGAAGCGTTTCTTTACTACGGATCCGAAAAGAGTGAATACAGTCGGCAGCAACTCGAAACAATTTTAATATATACAGCAGCTGTTTTGCAACGTAAAGCTGCTCATCTCAACGGCCATTTTTAAACTCGAGGCATGAATTAAACGATTGATTTTATCACGCGCAATATTTATCGGGATAGTAAAATCGCAATACAAACGGGACCTGCATTGTTCTAGTTCAAAACGGCAAATCGAGACACTTCGCCGAGGCGACGTGCAACATTTTACAATAACGTTTCACAATGTCGGGACTGTTCAGTCAGATCAATCTGCTCTAGCCTGCGTAGTAGCAGGGGTCGATAGGGGTAGGGGATAGAGAGGAAGGGAAAAAGGGAGGAGGATTGGGGAGAGAGGGTAAGGGACACCCGCTATAAGAACCCCCTTTGTTCATTGCTGCGGACGCTGGCGTCAGCAAATTCCTGTTTGGCTGAGCGGTGATGAATAACTTATTGCCGTGTATCCTGGCGTGTATTAGTGAGAGACAAACATGATGAAGGCACCAAGGAAATGTGTTCTACTGGCATGAGCTTTGGAAGATCAAAATTACTCCAATCATGCAGCAACGTAAAGTTAATACCCGAACTGGAACCAACTGTAATAGCTTTGAAAAATAATCCTGAAAGCCATCATGAAAGGCCGGAATGGTTTGAGACTTTTCAACCCCCTTACGCATCAAGCAAGGTGAAGTAGAGTAAGCTGCTTTTTGAAAACGATGCCATCCGAAATCGGATTTCCGATGAATTTCACAAGCGGTGTACTTCTCAACCAAAAACCCATTAAACAAACCATCCACGAATAACCGAAGAATCTCAGTAATAGCGAGCTGCATTTAATTAATTTTGTACATCCAGTGGAAAAAGACGGTTAAAACCATCATAAGATGACAAAAAACTCCGTCAGCTTCAGCTATCTGCGTAAACAAGTTTCCAAATGCTGCAAAATATTTCCACATGAATTCACCTTTCAAATTTTGACTAATCGGACAAAAAATTGGTAGTAGAGCTTGGCCAACGCATGACTATGGTGAGAAATGCTAAAAGCATCTGCCTTCCCTGCGTGTTAAAAACTGACTAAATTTTCGCGTCCGAAGTCAGTTTGAAATCAAAATTTTAATTGTTCAGTTCATAAACACAACTTATTTCCTGTGCATTAAAAAAAAAAATTGAGTTTGAGTCTGCGAATATTTGAAAACTAGTAAATTCTCAGTGGATAAATTAAAAAAAACGTACACTCGATGGGTCAAGAAATAAGCCCGCGATACGGTCAAGTGATACTGGTCAGCGAATACCCTGTTTTGACAGCTGTCAACTGACCACGATATGGATGTGCTATATCAGGTTTCACCCTCCCAAACTAGCCAGAAAGTGTGAGACTTAATATTGGTTTCCCTGTTGTGCAGACGGAGGGACGGTCACGTGCTTACCGAATTTTCTCGGGTAGATAGAAGCGCGCACGTCGAGCTTCGCTATTAAATCAGCCATCCTTATTGATTTTACAGAATGTAGAACTTTAATAAAATAACTCTTTATCTTCACATTTTTCTTTCAGGAGGCTGGCTTCTTATTTCCAACATCACGATGGAAAGTTCAACTCCTCCCTCTCAGCTGCCAGTCAAGACTTCATACCGTGGAATAACCAGTGATCAGATGGTTCTCACAAAAACCGCCATGATTGAGCTGAGATCAGTCTTGTCTTTCACCCAGCTGAGATTCCACTGCAGTAAAAACAATGGAAGAACGTTCCACTTGACCACTGCTGATAACAGCACTGGTGAAGCTGTAGTCCAGTACTTCAGCGGTCAGACGGATGTCCAGCCCGCCTCGTGTGGCTCATACGTTACAATGGAGAATGACAACTCAAGGTTAGCAGGTGTTTGCAAAAATTGGGGAAAGGAAAGTGGCTCTATGATGGTTGGTAAATGGGGCTATGAATTGGATCAAGACAGATTATACGACCACCCTGCTTTTTCTTTTCATTATTCTCATTGGGCGCTTAATCATATTGACTACAGTGGGGGAGTGGCGAAAAGATGGGAATGCGATGATCTGCTTGTTGGCGTGACCACTGGTGATTTCTGGAAAATTTACGTTCGCTAAAATGTTTGTGTGTTGATGTCTGTTTCTATTGATAGTCTTCAGTGGCTGTAAAAGTTTGAACTTTTTAACTCGCCAATTTACTCATTTATAAAAACGTCTTTCTACAAAGAGCGAGGACCATAAATAAAAGGTTATAATCAATAGGCCATTTGCACGATGGCGTCATTTACTACTACTACCAGAATGCTTCAGTGTTTTGTTTTCTTGTGCAAATTAGAGTTTTTGTTGAGGGTGCCAATTGGTTAACTGCTTAACGTATAAAGGCCTTTTTTCACTATCGTAAACGTATAAATTACAAAATATTAACTGACAAGCGTATAAAAAAAGGTAATTGTTTAAGCTTATACAGAGCGAAGTAGACCCAAAAGTAAGAAATTGATTCAAACAAATGAAGACTTTCTGAAATAAAAAGACGAGATGGTGAGACAGAATGATAGAGGTGTACTTGTTAATCTTCCCTACACTCTAGTCTGTTCGCTGACGTATATGGGACTGCGTCATTCTGTGATTAAGCCTGCATTCGAACTGCGTGCGGTTATGTCTCTCAATTCAAAGGGAAACAGACAACCATTTCACAGTTAAAAAGAAGGAACCTTAACTTGTTTTGATACAGCCCTTTCTGCTTTCTTGTGTAAATCACGTTGTTCTTATGCTTAACGTGAAGACTAGGTTATTATAAGCCCACAACTGTAAAATGGCTTATTTTCTCAGTATACCTCTTTGTTTGCGTGATCTTGTAAATAGGTGTTTGTACTGCTTATAATTCGGCCTAATAATACTAAATGAAGTCTAATTCCGCCTGTAATCTTATGAGCGATAAAAGAAAATCGGAAGCGCGCGCAACCGCGTTAAGCGGGAATCGGATTTGTTTAAACTTCTGATAAGTATAAATTACAGATTGTCAATTGGACAAGAAGTTTTATTACTGATTCCCTTGCCTTACCTTCAGCTGTCCAATTATACTTACGCATGACATGTACTTTCCTATTACATCGTCCTATTAATTCTGAAATCTGGGCTACCGATAGCCAATTAGATTAGAGAATTTTGTTTTAGTTATGATAAGCGGGACAATGACTGTGTACAGAAATTCAGATGTCATTGAGCGCTTTTGTTCAAGAATTTTATTCACAGAAAGTGGATGAAGAGAAGAGTGATGCTGTCTTCCAGGCTCAACCACGGAAGACAAATTGGGGCGTCGGTTAGGCTGGATTTGTAAGAAATAATTCACTTCAGACTGATTTGAGAAAGTGTTAAAGAAAATATGACAAACCAGTGCATTGCATCCTGGAAACGTGGGAGAGAACTTGGGAGTCTTTGTGGAGTAACTGATAACATAACATAAAACTTTATTTATACTCGAATTTTAGAGTAGCTAACAAGCTAATATCTTCGAGCTGACATTACATTAAATGCATTATAAGAAATAATAATAAAATAATATTATTAATAATAAGCACATAAAAAAGAAAAGAAAAGAAAAGAAAATATTATTTACAATTTTAAGTTTAAGTATGTCAGGCAAAAAGGATCTACATGAAGGTAACATCCTGTATTTTGGTCTTAAAGCCTGCAAAAAAACTAGTAAGAAAAAAGTCCGGCAGTGCATTCCACTGCTTAGCTGAAAAGTAAGAAAAGGAGTTAAGACCATAGGTAGTTGTTTTAGGTTTACTTAGTGAAAGAATGTAGTTGCCACGAAGATCATAAGAAGAGGACCGGAGTGAAAACATATTCTTCATATAGGTGGGAAAATGAGTGAAAAACTAACTCTTATATAACAGAATGAGGAAATTTTGAATGCGTTTGTTACACAACGAAGTAGAGCTGACTTTTGAGAGAAGAGTGTTGTATGGAGACGAGTAATCTCCAAGTATAAATCAAGCTTATCCCCATCGCGCGCTCCACAAAAGTGCCAGACAGAGGAGCAATAATAAAATAAATAAACAATGAGATACAAAAGTAAATAATGAAAAGAAAAAGATACAAAGGATAAGATAGATGAAAGTTAATTATTTTAAAAGAACAGTTCGGCTCAATTCATTTCACAACGGACTGTTTGATTTTTCTTTTTACACCCGAATGTCGGCTTCCAGGAAAGAGACGTGATTCATTGGTGGACCGAATCTTCAATTGTATATATCTAGACAAACAGCGGGGAAAAGTGCAAACAGCAAGGCTGGATGGTTTAAAGCGTAAACGCGTTGTTTTCACTGCGGCCTCTCTTCGCACTAGACGAAGAAGGGCAATTTTATATTCGCACTAGACGAAGAAGGGCAATTTTATATCAACGTTAACGCAGGGATCTTCCTCGGTGAAAAGTAATGTGGAAAATAACGGTAAAGGAATCACACATTTGCACATAATTAAAAGTCTGAGATACCACTGGATTGTTCGCGTAGACGCTACGGTTACACTAGAGGATTCATAAATATTTCGGATTCAGAATTCCGGACTTATTTTGTTGAGGGTATTCGGATCATTTCGTAAGCTTTCATAGAGTCCGCATACAAAAAAACGCATTCGGATTCCCAACAAGTTTAAACACATCCGGTCGATAAAACTGAGTGCCTTTAGCAAGGACGACGGCGATAGCAACGAGAACAACCACGCCAAAAAGCAAAAGGTTTTAAAAGTTAAACAACAAATTTTGCAAGTGTAGCACGCTGCTTGGTAAATTCGTTTGCCGTGCATGACCACGACGTGATTTTTTTCTTTTTACGGGACGTTGTTTGGAGGGCGTGAAAATAAACACACGATGATGATTTTTTTCATTCCGAGTTCAAACTTGGGTGCGCGGTCCCCAAGGATTCAACTCCAGTGAAATTCTCCTATTCATTTGCCGTTTTCAGCAAGTTGGAAAAAACTCAAAAGTTTGAAAAAACGCGAATTCGTTTAAATACTGACGTATTTGCTACCCCTCGCCATCAATATTTTAAAGCACCCTACATGAACGTGACACTTTCATTTTCTTTTCGCCGCAAACACTTATGATCGAAGGAGGAAAGCATCATGATTCGTTGGAATTAACTCAAAAAGGCTACAAAGAATTTTTCAAATTACTTAGAGACGTGATAAACGCTTAGGCTTACAGTAACCTTACCCTGGTGTGGGGTGGGGTACAGGGGGGACCGGAGCATTTGGTGAGTTGTGCGTACCTCTGAAAAAATACTGGCTACGCCCCTGGGAAGTGTACAGATCTTCTAGGGGACAAACATACACTCATCAAGGGTACGTGCCATTAAAGTGTTTGTGTTATCTGGGTTTCCGTTAAATGCTGTTTATCATAACAAATTAAGATATTGAGCTGTTTGTCAGAACAAAGAGATTTGTCTGTTATAAACGGGTTTCTGCAAAGCAGGCTTCCACCGACGACTTTATAATTTGTCACGCCCTTTATAACTTTTGAACTTAGTTTGACGCTTAGCCAAGTTCGACGTTGGCAACCCAGTAGTCGAACTCAACTGAAGTAAGGTCGACCCAAATAGTAATTTGACTCGTCTCATAAAAACTTCGACTTCTACCCCCGGCCCCCATCTAAATTGCAAAAACCAGCAGAGTGATTTCTCAGTTTCGGAGCCAATGACAATTAACATCCAAAATAGACAACATATCCGGCTTTTCTTCCCCTTTAACTCGGTTAGGGCAGCTTTTTTAAAGTCTTGTTTGTGCTTTCTGTACCCGTACGAAGCCTTTGTTTGTTGCCATCGAAATTTACACTTTTCTTTTCAGTCTTTGTGACCTTTTCGCGATTTCTTTCGCGTCCATTTTTAATTATTTTGACGCACTTAATGGAAACCGAAGCCCCCGCCCCCTCCTCCCCTGCCCTATCCCTTCCCCTGAACCTAACCTAATAAAAATTCAACAAAAACGCTTTGCAAAATTCACTAACGAATTCAAACAAAACCGAACCACGAGACAGTCCACATAACAAAAAAAACCGTTTACCCCTGTTTCATTGGAAGAACGAAATTGGTTTTCTCGTGGAGTATCACTTGGAATTCGGAGTAGGATCAAGGGTTTAAGTGAGAACGGTCGCGACCAAGTTGAACCATAGATCGAGCTTCACCCATCCACCCTGAAATTTTTGCAATTTGGATTTCTTCTTTTTTTTGGTTTTTAAAGCTGAATTTTTTTGGCGATATGCAACCTGCTTACGTAGCGTATTTTGGCTAGCTTAGTGGCTGTCGATTAATCAAGAAACTTCCAGAAACTTCTTAGTTACATGTTTTATGGAGGAAATGTCGTACGTGTCCTCGTCCACTTTTTTTTCACTGCCGCTCATTTTCACTTTGCATTGGTGGCCGCTAGCATTTCTCATTTTGTCACCGCCGCTACAAAATTTTCATGTTATTCTTCCAACAAAAAATGTCTCCTTTGTTTTTAATCCCTCGCTCTAGGCTCTGTCGTCCTCTTTCTCGTTGAACTTCGCTGGCCTGCCGCCTACTTTCTCTTTTTCTCTGTCTTTCTCCTGCTCTATATTCCAAATTTGTGGACACGACAATTCATCTAAGTTAAATACTTTAGACAACACGGATACAGAAACAATTTCTGCTTTCCGTTTTTGTCTTTATTGACTCTTTAGCTGCCTCTGTTTTACAAGACGCGGGTGGCTATGCGATTTCCCGCCAAAATAGCCTCGAGTTGCATTTGGGTTGCCATACCTGTTGATTGAGTTATTTTACATTGGTACGCCTGTGGTGAGAACGGATGGTCGCTCGGTCGGTGTACGGTCACGTGATTATCAAATTTTCTCCGATGGGTAGATGACTTCATTTTCTTACCCATGGTGCTCCGCTGGCGCGCTTCGCGCGCGAGAGCTCCGCTATAAACTACTGGATAAGGATAAGTGTGATATTTAACAATTATTCCACGAGGGCACGTTGGATATGAGATGATAGATAGCCAACGAGGCGCATAGCGCCGAGTTGGCTATAATCATTTCATATCCAACAAGCCCGAGTGGAATAATTGTTTTATTAAAAACGCCCACAAAATCTCGT